AAAGATAGGCTAAGTTCAACAACTACAAGAAGAACAAGGCCCCCAACTTTTGAATACTTGGCTTTACTAATTTAACAGCTTTTAAACATTCCTCTAGAGAATTGAACTGCATATCATTAAACTTTAAACCTAACATATGATTGCTGCTTTTAATAATATCATGCAGAATGACTTATATCTAATAATACATATTGCTTTACACCAAGACCCCACCCAATAAAGGAAAGCAAAAAACTTTGATTTAATCTATCAAAGACCAGATTTCTTCTCAACATGCATTCAATTAGCAATACATGCAATGTATATCCAACACTGTATTTTCCTCATAAAGCCATAAAAGAAGATGAGGCTAAATATGCTGTATAATAGGTTGGAAACATTCTGCAGCAAGTGAAAACATATTTGCAACATTATCATATTTTCATATCATTGTTTATACATAATGAGATAAACATATTCAATTGTATTTCTCATTTTTTGACTGGTGTTGCATTTTCTCAGGCTCTATCTAAAAGCTTGCAGGCATAACTGAGTTGGATAAGGATCGCATGAAGAACACTGAGCCACCTCTGTCTGCAAAACCTGACTTGTAGACTTGATTTTACCATCAAAATTACTATTTTGGTGTTGGAATAAGAGAAGTTTTTTCAGTATCTAACTGGTGAGTTTATTTTAAGCTAAAGAAACCTTTTTTGAGTATGAATAGTATCTCCCTTAGGGGAATTTGTTGATGTATCTCCATTGGCAGAACCAAACTGGGACGTGTAAAAGATGTGAATAAGGCTACAGAGTGACTTTGGAAGCGTGCTCAGCCACCATCACAACCTTTTCTGATGTTTGGTGAATTGAATTCTTCTTGTACCTCAAAAAATACACCAAATGGGGGAAAAAGGGAAGATTACTTTAATGTATATTTCTGAAAAGTAAAGAAGTTATTTCTGGGAAGGTGAAGGAAAACAGCAAGGAGATATTTGAATTCAGTAAAGACACTTGCCATGAATGAAGACTGGCAGTTGATGACTAGCCCAGAATATGTCCTTTTCCATCCTTGGAACATCACTGACTACCACCATTACTTCCTTATAATGCACGTGTTCCTAAAAGAAGTATTAATTCTGTTTTAATTTTCCGATATTCTAAATTTCTCATACACTGCCCTCCAGATATTTCAGTTTCAGACATAAGAGAAGATCCTGTAGCATCAGAACTCACAAAAAAAGCTTTCTTGGGTTAGACTAAAGTCCCAGCACCTTGTGTGAATGAGGGCTTGGTAAGACATAATGCTGACAAAAATAAGAAAGTAGGCTCATCTAGGCTGATCTGTCCAGATGCAGACCCAGCTTCCCGTGCTTTTTGGCTGTACTGCCATGGTGCTGTTACAGCATTCCCCGCAGAACTTTCAAGTCCATATTCCGTGATCATTCATCCCAGTTCCCTTGCTGTTGGGACGTGCTGGGATGGCACAGGGGCGCTAGTGACAGACCTTTGTGGCAGAAAGGAGGCAACCACTGGCAATAAACCACTAAACCACTGGTTTAGTGATGGTGTTGCTTTTTGTTTGTTGTGTGGGTGTTTATTTTTGTCAAAATTAGGTGGACGGTTGGACAAGACGATCTTTAAGGTCCCTTCCAACCCAGAAGATTCTGTGATTCTGTAATACCTGGTGTCAGCAGCCCCCCCACAACGTGCTCCCTCAAGTTGCCTGGGAAAGCACCATCCCCGAGGCGGTAGCCTAATTCTTCAAGGACCCCACAGCATGGGGCCACAGTGCCCTCGCACCCTCAGGCATGGTGTGCACTTCCAAATCCCCCTGACACAAGCAGCACCCAGTGCCCTCCTGTTTACAAAACGCAAGTGGCAGCAGGTTATCCATCAGACAAGTAAACTCCTTGTGTCACAGAGGAATCCCCCACCCAAATCCATCTTGGAAAAGCCTACGCTTTGCCCACAATCACAGCCGGAGCCAGCTGCGTTCCCACAGCAACAAACACAACTCCTACAACACGGCCCAGCTTTTTGGCAGAGCCCGACCTCCTCCTGCCAGAGCCCCGACGCCCAAGCTGGCAGGGCAGGGGGTTGCTGCGCAACCTGACTGCAGGGCAGCCATCCTGCGGGGCAGCTCTCCTCAGATGAAGCACGCTTTGATGACTGGATCCCTGCATTCTTGCGCACGGAGTCATTTGTTCCCTTAGCAGCCAACATTTCTGGCTGTATCTTGTATGTGATCAGGCACCGCTTCCTTCCTCTCCGTACCCACTGGAAAAGAAGCCGTGCCCGGCTGCAACATTTTTGTGTCAGGTTACGGCGCTGCCGACAGACAGCCGGTGTTCACCGACACGCAGACACACGGGGAGATAAAGGCCAGGCAGGAGTGGTGTAGGGTCCAACGTGTTCCCTGTGCTACCCAGAGTGAGTCCCCTGGATGCCTGCCTGCTTCCTCCTGCTCCTCTTCCTGCCCCTCCGTTCCCTGCACAGCCACATCGAGCTGCCTTCTCCGCCCATCCACAGCCTTTCCAGCTTTTTCCAGTTCCCCTTTGATTACTTCAGGATATCCCAGGCATGATTTGGGAGCCAGAAGCACACGCAGGGCCAGCTGTAGGTGGCCACATCTCTGTACCCTCTCACGTCCCACAGGGCAGTCCATTTATACTTCAGCCTTTGCTCCAGGGCCTTCAGCGTGTGTGGGGTAGGGAGCTTGGGGGCAGAGCAGATGTCTTGGTCCTGCAGATACTCTCCACTGCCTGTGGGACAGCAGGCTGCACCTGCAGCCCCTGGGAACTGGCAAGATTGTTGAGCCTCTGAGGACTGAGGCAATTCATGACACATCCATGCAGTGCAATACCCTCTAACGATCCCGTTTCTTAAGGCCAGTAACTGTGCAAGTAAAACTAGAACATGATGGCAGTATTTTCCTTTCTTGATTTGGTTTTAATTTCTTGGGCAGGGAAGGCAATGAATGTATCAATAAATCAAAAAATAAAAATGTAACAGATGGAATTATCTCATCTGCTCTGATCTCATCTTTTGCCTTGAAAAACAGAGGTACTCTGACGTGTTCAGATCACCCCAGTGGGGCCCTGACCATTGCTCAGGTGCAAATTATCACAGAATGATTTGCGTTGGAAGGGACCTTGAAGATCACTGAGCTCCAACCCCCCTGCCATGGGCAGGGACACCTCCCACCAGACCAGGTTGCTCAAAGCCCCATCCAGCCTGGCCTTGAACACTTCCAGGGATGGGGCACCCACAGCTTCTCTGGGCAACCTGTTCCAGTGCCTCACCACCCTCACAATGAAAAATAATTTCCTGATATCTGATCTAAATCTACCCTCTTCCAGTTTGAAGCCATTATCCCTCGTCCTATCACTACATTCCCTGATAAAGAGTCCCTCCCCATCTCTCCTGTAGGTCCCTTTTAGGTACTGGAAGGCTGCTAAAGGTCCCTCCCGAGCCTTCTCTTCTCCAGGCTGAACAACCTTAACTCTCTCAGCCTCTTTTCACAGCAGAGCTGCTCCAGCCCTCTCATCATCTTCGTGTCCCTCCTCTGGACCCGTTCCAACAGGCCCATGTCCTCCCTGTGCTGAGGGCTCCAGAGCTGGACTCAGTACTCCAGGTGGGGTCTCACCACAGTGGAGCAGAGGGGCAGAATGGCCTCCCTCGACCCGCTGGCCCCATGATTTGTGCGACAGTTATTCCAGGACACCATCATAAACTGTAACATTAAACGCAGCCGGAAACTCCGCGGCTTAAGAGTGATTCTCTACCAGAGGGAGGCTTTGCAGGTGACGGAAACCGATCAGAAACGGACACCGACACCAGCACAACCTCCAACCCCCGCCGCCGCGACTGACGACTGCCCGCTGCCTCAGCCCCCGCCCCGCCCCAAGGCCGCGCGCCAGGCCAGCCCCGCCCCTCGCGCCTCAGGCCCCGCCCCCCGGGGGCCGTTGCCACGGGAGCTCCCTCCCCATCTCTCCTGTAGGTCCCTTTTAGGTACTGGAAGGCTGCTAAAGGTCCCTCCCGAGCCTTCTCTTCTCCAGGCTGAACAACCTTAACTCTCTCAGCCTCTTTTCACAGCAGAGCTGCTCCAGCCCTCTCATCATCTTCGTGTCCCTCCTCTGGACCCGTTCCAACAGGCCCATGTCCTCCCTGTGCTGAGGGCTCCAGAGCTGGACTCAGTACTCCAGGTGGGGTCTCACCACAGTGGAGCAGAGGGGCAGAATGGCCTCCCTCGACCCGCTGGCCCCATGATTTGTGCGACAGTTATTCCAGGACACCATCATAAACTGTAACATTAAACGCAGCCGGAAACTCCGCGGCTTAAGAGGGGCCGTTGCCACGGGAGCGGCGCGAGGTCACGCACGCGGCCGGGGGGAAGATGGCGGCGCCCGTGGAAGTCTGTCATGTCGCCTGCTGCGCCAACCGGGCGGGCGGCGGGGTCGTGTCCTGGGGATCGGGGGGGCTCCTCGCTTTCGGCAGCTGCCACGACGTCATTCTCTACGAGCCGGCGGTGAGCTGAGGCTTTGCGGGCCGGGCCGAGCCGGGCCCGGGGCGGCACCGGCACCGCGGCCTCACCTCACGCTCGGTGCTCTCTCTCCCTCTCCCGCAGGCGAGGCGGACGGCTACTCCAGGTGGGGTCTCACCACAGTGGAGCAGAGGGGCAGAATGGCCTCCCTCGACCCGCTGGCCCCATGATTTGTGCGACAGTTATTCCAGGACACCATCATAAACTGTAACATTAAACGCAGCCGGAAACTCCGCGGCTTAAGAGTGATTCTCTACCAGAGGGAGGCTTTGCAGGTGACGGAAACCGATCAGAAACGGACACCGACACCAGCACAACCTCCAACCCCCGCCGCCGCGACTGACGACTGCCCGCTGCCTCAGCCCCCGCCCCGCCCCAAGGCCGCGCGCCAGGCCAGCCCCGCCCCTCGCGCCTCAGGCCCCGCCCCCCGGGGGCCGTTGCCACGGGAGCGGCGCGAGGTCACGCACGCGGCCGGGGGGAAGATGGCGGCGCCCGTGGAAGTCTGTCATGTCGCCTGCTGCGCCAACCGGGCGGGCGGCGGGGTCGTGTCCTGGGGATCGGGGGGGCTCCTCGCTTTCGGCAGCTGCCACGACGTCATTCTCTACGAGCCGGCGGTGAGCTGAGGCTTTGCGGGCCGGGCCGAGCCGGGCCCGGGGCGGCACCGGCACCGCGGCCTCACCTCACGCTCGGTGCTCTCTCTCCCTCTCCCGCAGGCGAGGCGGACGGCCGCCGCCCTCCGCGGCCACGCCGGCAGGGTGAACTGCGTGCGCTGGGTCCGCCGGCGGGACGGGGGTGAGTAGAGGGCCCTTTCTCCGCCTTTCCCTGTCCCCTTGGGGTATGTGGGTTCCGCCGTGGCGGGAGGCTGAGGCCGCGCCCCCCCCCCCGGGGCAGCGGCCGGTGCTGCCCTGCCCCTCGCTGAGAAGGTGAGGCGGGGGGGAGGCCGGCAGCAGAAGGGCTGTCTGCTTTAAACTGTGAGGAGCTGGAGGAAATCGGGAGCTGCAGCGCTTCCAGCGCTTCCTTTCGCCTTAAGCCCAGCTTCCCAGAGGGATTTTAACAGGTGGCTCCGCACAGATCTGGCCCGTTAAACTCCGGTGAGCGGTCCAGTGAGCGACGGGGTGCCGTCGGGCTGTCTTCTCCCGGCCCCGCAGCTAAGGCCAGCCCAGGAGGCTGTTTTGCCTGGGGCTGCGGTGGCTCTGACAGATCGGTAGCTGTGGTGCGTGTGCTGCCACTGCGCTCTTTAGTAAGGGGTTCGAGTTTTGCGTGTTCTACCTTGTACACCAATTTGCAGTGCTTTTTAAGAAATCTCATACTATAAAGCCATAAGCTGTAGGTCAGCTCCACGACCTAAATGAGAGGTCATATCCACGAAAAAATAATCCTTTAAGGTAAAAATGTTTGAGGTTCTCACGAGGCTTTTGCTTGATAGTAATTCCGGGCTTTAAACTCGCTTAGTGCAGACTTCTCAGAGGCATGTCTTCTTGCCTTGGGTATTCCTAGAAACTTTCTGGCAAAGAGAAATGGGGCTGTTGATTAGCCTGTTAAAGTACCAGAAGTCTACCAGTTGTTTTCTTTGGGGGGGTCAGTTTCTAAGATGAAAATATTCCTCTTAATAGTGATATAAACTGCCATCCTTTCAACTGGTTGCACTAAAACCTTTTCTTCTGAAGACTGGTTAAAAGAAATTGTTTTCAGGGAACTTGGAAATTAAATTTTTGTGTGAAGCTTTGAATTCTGTTTGGTTAGATTTCCCTTGATTTGTTTTTCTATCATCCAAAAGCACACAAAAAATTAAAAAAAAATTAAATTACACAATTGCATTTGAGAATCACCTCGGAAAGATGTATTCATCCCATTAATACAGAACTCTAAATATTCTGTAACTTTTCTCTTTCTGCTGTCTTAGAGAATACATTTGCTCTTAAGCTGTCTTGCACAGTGCAATTCATATTAGCCATACTTTATTTTGATGGATACTTCGCTTACAGTTGATAGGTGATGTTATGTGAGTAGTAACCAATGTAATTGCTTCTGTTGTTGATTGCTGTTACAAAGGAAAATGTTCAAAGAACTTACAAAAATGTTTTATTAGCTTTTGCAACAGAGTTAATTTCTGGTGGATCTGATAAACAGCTCATTCTTTGGGAATGGCACGGAACAGTAACGTGGAATAATCAGGTAAGCAGGAATAACCTTTTTTAAAGTTTGCCCCCTCCAGTTTCTCACATACTACAAATTATTTGTTTTGTCTGTATTTTTTACTCATATCTCTTCACTTTATCTTGACTACTGAACTCCATGTATACCTCCTTCATTCTGTCATGCTTTGTTTTACTTTAAATGTGATTTTTACTTTTCTGTAATTTATCTCTTTTAAATTAGCCTTCATTTAGAAATCAGCTAACCAGTCATCTGGTGGATTTGTCTAGCCATGTCTAAAAGATGCTGTTTGTACATTCGTGAGTCATCAGTTTTCTGATGACTTTTGTTCAAGCTACTTAAAATCTTCAAAATATAAGGTTCATTTTCAGTTGATATTTCCTGTACACTTTTTCCTCATTTCTTTATATCCATTTCTAGTGATTTCCAGTCAATCTGTGTAAGAGCGTAGTGTTTGCATGTAGGTAGTCTTACCAGAATGATACACAAGTTAGGGTAGATATTTAAAAAAAAACAAAACAAACAGCCCCCTCCAAAAAAACCCCGAAACAAACAAAATCCAAAAATAAATGTGCAACAATTGAGTTTTGTCAGTGAAATGAGAAGATTAAGGAGACATGCTAATTTATAACTCATACTGTAAAAATGTGAATCAAAATATGGAGTATGGTGTAAAAGACCATTCAGAATTAACTTAAATTTAGATAACAGATTAGATAGAACATCTTTTTCATCTTACTTTTAAAATCTTACATGTTAGGTATTGATTTGTGAATGGCTGTGTGGGTAACACAGGCTGTCTCAAACTGGATTAGACTTGGCGTTTTGAAATATATGAGAATCCATGCTAGGGGGAAGTGCACTAGAGTGCTTGCTATCAGGTGTATTTGATGTGGGAATGTTCTCAGAAACAAGTAATTTCTCACCCTGATCTATTATGACGGGAATTTAAAACTTTGTAAAACTTTCTGATGTGTTTAGCTTGTGAAAAGCGTTCCTCTGAAAGGCCATACTGAAGCTGTGTGTGCTGTGGATGCTGTCTACCAGTCAGATGAACCTGATCTAAACCTGCTGATAGCTTCTGCAGCTTCTGACTCGACTGTGAGAATCTGGTCTCGGCGTGGTTCAGAAGGTAACTTTATTTAACATTAGGGGCAACATACTGGCTTAATAAAAATGATGAATACTTATCCATTGAAGTACTTGGCTAAAGGCTAACATCTCTTAATGCAGCTCCATTGATTTCTCTTCAACCTTTAGTACATCAAACCACTGTATTGCTCTTTGAAAGCCGAGGGTTACACTAGTTTAACAGCTTTGGGTCAGATTTGTTCTGCAGGATGATTTATCTTTGTTTTTCATTAGTGATGTGCTGACTGAATTTCCTTGTTTCTTTTTAATATGCATTCAGAATCTGATAATCTGAACAATCATTTTGCACTGTAATGTGGGGCAGACTAGCTGTATGTGTCGTAAAATTAGTCAGTAAAATGATTAATGCTGGAATTAGAAAGGTGAGATTAAAGTAGTCGCTTGTTTGTTACTATTGACTTGAGTCCAGTGAAGTTTGGAATCTTGACCTTCTGGTGAACTAGGCCCTTGCATGGACGGATGGGATAACAGCTCGTTGAAATACATAAGAAATAAATAGGGTGGATAATCTAGATTTAAAGAGGTATTTGCTAGTTCAGTTGTAGTGACTGCATCTCTCAAGTTACTTTCTTCCTTATCTGGTGCACTTGAAGATTTCACATTGCCCTGCCTACTTGAGAGAAATAGGTGGAAGTTGCCAATCTTCCCATGTTGTGGAAGGCATTTGTCATGCTCCCAAAGAGCACCATGAAGTCCTGGCCTTTGCTTCTCCTGTCTTGCTGTTGTGAGTTCCAGTGATGGAAGGACCAATTCTGCTTTTGTAGTGAGGTTTTTCTGCTATCCTGTTGGTTACTCTGATCTTGTTGGCTTACTGGTTTAACTGCTTCTAGGATCTCAGGAGTGTTTGCAGGTTTTTGCTCATCTCTCTGTTTGCTCTTCTAGCAAATGGATTCAGTGTAGTGAATGCTGTTGCCACAGGGCATAATTTACAATACTTATTGCTTCTGAGTGTTACCACAGTGAAGCTGTACAGCTTTAATGCTCAGTGGAGAATAGTGACTTATCTTCCAACTTGGCTAACTCTGATGAATTTCTGTGACCCCACAGAAGATAACATTATTTCGGCTTCTGAAAAAAAGAAGAAGTTTTTCAGCTCCTTACAATAAAATTGGATGGAAAATTTTAACTCCATAATGTAGTAGGAAATGACAGCGTAACTGTGATACTTACGATGAATGAGATCAACACTCTCTTTTCATGTTTTTCAGCTAAATGCATTGAAATTCTGCAGTTTGGAAATGGATTTGTTATGGATGTCTGTTTATCCTTCTTGCCTGGCAGCAATTGTAAGTACAGCTGCACATCTTCAACATCAATGCAGGAAATGTCAAATCTAAGAAATCCCCCAGATAGCTTTTCATTTAACTGACTCCAGACCCTTGTGCCATAGTTATTTTCTGCAGAATCAGCCTGTGCTGCTCCTTGTATCTAAAGATTTTCACTGAACTCTTCTTAGCAATTAGAAAAAAACTGACCAATTACAGTGTCTTTAAAATGATACTCAAGTGGAGTTTTTCAGTTGAACTCTTGAGACAGAGAGCTTAAACAGGGGGGTACCAGGGCTGTAAGTGAACAGGAGAGGATGATGCTGTTAGTTTCACCCACTACTTGTGGTGCTGCTGTGTATGTTTGTTCTTGTTTGGAGTGAAGGGTAAGATACAGAAAAGAAAACTGCAGGCCTCCCTTAATATTTGCACGTTTAATGAGCAGTGTTTATCACCTGTTCAGTATTAAATGTGAAAATACTGAGATGCTGAACAAGTTTAACCTGACTTCAGTATATTTTATAGTTTTCCATAACCATAAATATTCAGATTTTGTAGTCTAGGACAGACACATTCTTCTGTTGCAAATCTGTAGAAGCTTTTTTTTTTTTTTTTGACTAAATGTATCCTCAAACCAGATAAACACAGACTTAATTCAACGTGTGTAAGTATCAATTAGAGCCTTTCTCCTGGATGGAGGAGTGCCAGACTCCAAAGAGGAAAAAGTGCTAAAGTTTCTTACTATATCTAGAGTTTTCAACTGTTCACTGCATGTGTTTCGCACTGTTGTGTTGTTTGATTGAAGCTTATTTTACCTTTGGCAAGTGATAATTCTGAGAAATACGAAAGCTCTATCAAGATGCATTACCCTATTTGGAAATGCTAATGTCTGTTTCCAAAGTGTGTGTGATATCAAAAGCAGCATCTGCACCACTGAAGAACTTTAAACTTTTCTCTCTATTTTTCCTGTAATTATATTAACAGGTGGTTGTTCAGATGAAGTTTAAAAGGCTTGAGGGTAAAATAAATCATTACCTCCAGTGTGAATTTACATTAGAAGTGAAGTGTCTGTGGTGCCATTTTCATGACTATAAAATTCATATTGCAAAGCATTTGCATTCATTTATGTTACTGTACAGGTAAGAAATTCTCACTGTAACACTCTAGAGTAGTCCATCTGTTTAATGTGGAAATCATGTATTAAGAGAAGTGACCATTCATTTTGAAAACAATGTAAAAGAAAATTATCATATTAATTCTTAAAATGAAATGCTTCTGAAGCCAAAATTGCATGGAGTGCTTGAAGTTTCTTTAAATGGTGAAATATCAAGCATTTTGTTTTGCTGTGAAAATCTCCTGGAGTCCCCCAAAGCCAGTATTGCTTAAAGTTGCTTTCAGAGCAGGACAGTTCTTTATTATGGCCTCTTCCCATCCAGTTCAAACTAGTCATCCAAACCAGCACAGTGCTCATAACCTGAAAGGGAGTGCTTTACTTCTATGAAGAACTGCAGTTATTTTCAAATGAGAAATTATTTGCATAGTTTTTTTACAGAAATTTTTAAAAAGATCCAATACTTTTATGTTTTTAATGCCAGTTCCAGTATGAATGATCTGTGCTGCTGAAATTGTCAAGAAACAGTTTAGATTTTGAACCATAAATGTATGATTAGAAATGTTTCCCCTAGAAATCTGTAAAGGGGTTTTTAATACAGCATAGCCATGTTCTATGTTTTCTTCCTAAATCTGACACAGTAGTCCACGCAACTGAACCGTTCTCGTTCGGAGAAGTATGTTAATTCTGAAATCTAAATAAAGTAGCTTAAAATATATTATTAAAAATCTCTCTGCTGATCATTTTGTCAGAAACATTAATCTGTAATGGCAATTTGGATTTTAATGAACTTCAGGGAAAATGATCTATGATAACTTTAGGAATTGCTCTGAAATCTTTATGAAGGCTATGTTGGCAGCAGTATTAAAATTTAAAGAAGCTTTTCTCTTGAGGACAGCCTGCAGTTCTGAAGTCAGGAATTAAATTTAGAATTACTTTTCTGAAAGTCGTAAACTACTTCTCTGAATTAGAAGCATTTACAGTAACCTCTGTTTTCACCACGCAAAGAAATTTAAAGCTCACATTGAAAACTGGTTCATATGTAATGGATGCTTTACTCTCAGAAGACATTGAAGTTCACGTTGCCTACTATTTTAACTGATTGTCCTTGAAAATAAATGATTATTACCTTTTTTTTTAGAGCTAAGAACCTTTTTGTGAAAAAAGTCAAATGGGGAAAACCAGTATACTGCTCATAAAAACCTGAACAATCATTTGCTGCTGGAGTATAGCTTAAGCACTTTACTGGCAGCCTCTTAATTAAGGAGTTTCTTTACAGTTGTTTTTTTGAGTCTTGAAGAGCTTCTTACTGGTTTGTTTGTTTGGTTACTTTTTGCCTTGCAGTGTTTGCAGAAATAGGAATTACTATTTTAGAGATCTTGATCAGCTCTATCATCGTGTGCTGTGATTCTTTTTACCACCTGGATAACTGTGGTGCTGTAGCTTGGCCTCTGACAAATAAGAATTGTCTCCTCAGAACTGAATTGCAACAGGTGGAACAAAAAGCAGACAAGCTTGAAAAAGCTTTGCTGATCACATTGTCCACCAATTGGATTTGGACCATGGTTTCCAACTCATTTTTCTATTTCCTTTGTAGGACTTTGTCTCAATCAGATAAATGCTCTAGAGTATTAGAATTTTATGTGAAAAACTATATCCTAGTCTGGTTTTGCCAATTATATATTTCTTGATAGAACTTTTTGAGTGAAAGTATTTGCATTTATTTGATACAGCGACTAGATCATACTTCTTTTCTTGGTTTTATTAGTCAAATTTTTATTCCATTGAGGAAGTATGTAATTAATTATTGTAATGGCCCATAAAATGTATTTGTTGGGAAAGGATGATACTGGCTCCAAGAACATGCATTGTATTGTAATTTTTGTAAGAAAACATCACTTGCCACGTTTCTGTAGACCTGAACACCGGGTCTTTGTTCAAAACAGCTCATTACCTCCAATCCAAAGGAGTCTTTTTTGGTGTCATGTAAAGGAAGGGGGACTTGGAAGTGAAATGTGACTTAGAGGTTGGAGAGAAGAAGCAAGTGATGGAGGTACAAGAATGTGAAATGTGACTTATAAGTACAAGAGAAACAGCAAATAACTAGGCACAGATTTGGTACAGGCAGAAATAGGAAATTAGCATAGACCATAAAATTCTTATTAATATTCAAGTAGATTTTTGGTCTATGCATAGTGAAGATAAAATTATCTCTATAAAGGGATGGCATTTGGTGTTTGTGGTTTTTTTAAATGAAGTAGTTGATTTTAGTGAAATTTGGTATTTTGTTTTCTACCCAGACTTGAGAAATGCAAATGTCTAGCCCTGATAATTTATGTATTCATGATTTTTCTAATTCATTCTAATTCATTCCTTTTCTTTTACTATTTAGTCCCTAGCAGTACTTATGACCCAAAAAGAGTGAAGTAAGGGTTAACTATTCTTCCCTGTCATCTTCTGTGGGAGAGATGAATTAATACACTGTCTAGTCTCTACTTTTCCCCTTAGACATAACTTTATCTGGTTTGATTCAATTGACTAATGTTTTTTGGGCAGTTTCTAGATAGCTGGTAGAAGTAAATTACTACTCAAGACTGACTTGAGTAGGTGTATAATAATGTTAATTGCTTTCATATACCTGTGTACATTGAGTGGTGGTCTGTCTTCCTTTTTTGGTCTGTCTTTTTATTTGCTGTATAATAATCATGCTAATTCCATCTGTCTACATATTTCAGTTGATTTAAGAATTTGAACTGTATTAGTTCTGAGTTGTTTTGCTGCTTGCTGCTTTTGTATTTAGAGCAAATGCCTGTTGATACCAATAAAATAAATGTAATATATTAAAAATCTCTAATATTTGAACTTCCTACAGATATGTGAGCTTGAAGGAAACTACTCTTTAGTGTCTTAAGTATCTGTAGATATTATTTACATGCCAAAATTACTTCTGAGTTTTGTGTTCTTGAGATAGATAGGTGTCTAATTTAGAAAGCATACATAAGTGGTATCGTGCTTGCCTGTCTGTTTATATTAATATATTTATCAATACTATGTTGATTTTTATAGTATTTATATCATTTTTCATATCTTAGAATATTAGATTTTGTAACTTGAGTAATGAAGACTTTTTTTCCCTTTCCAGTGCCAATACTGGCTTGCGGTGGTGATGACTGCAAAATAAGTTTGTTTATACAGCAGAATGATCAGGTAATTACAGTTTTTCTCTTTTACTCAGTGTTATTAAATTTTTCTGCTTCTTCTCATATGTGCTGCTAATTTTTTTTTGAGGTTCTTCAGTAACTACTGTCTTTGTCTAGATAGCCATCACATGCAACTACCGCTTTTCAAGTAGTTCATCCATTTTTCTAGGTAATGATGAAATGCACGTACAGAATGTTGAAGTTGGATTCAGTGCATAAAAGGGTTAGGTTTCCTAATTTTTTTCCTGTGTGAAGATAGCCTGTGTTTCTATTCCCACTGATATAAAATAAGTACGACTGTCCTTTATTGAGTATCCATGCATTGAATGGATCATGTGGAAATGATGTTACTTTCAGTCTATAAATTCTTATAATAAAACTAACATGATTTCTGTCTGGAACTACATGCTCGTTGCTAAGTATGCCCTTTGTGCTGAATGCTTGTGAATGTTGAAAGAAGTATGTGAAGGAGCAACTGATCTTCTAAAAGATTTTATGCATTTTTCATGTATTACTCAAAGTTGGCGATTGTTAGTATCTCATACGGATAAATGTTCCTCTTGAGCACTAGCAAGAGATTCTATCCTCTCTTGCATCTGTTCAGAAGTTCTGTTAGACTCTAAACCAGATGATGAATGACTGTTTCCAAAACAAAGTCAATGTCACTTCTTTCTCTCTATCGCTCCCTTAAAAAAAGCCCAAAATGCCTTAAACCACAAACACTGCCCGCAATGAATGCACCAATGAACTTACCGTTCAGAACTCCCAACTGAAACTGATGTATGTAGGAACCACTTATTCTTTCGGATTTGTTCAGACACAGTCTCCTTAGAGATTAAAGACGAGATACTCCTTTTCGCTTTTTGAGAGAGATAAAAGCTACTTCATACATGGTAGTGTGAGCAGGAAAATTAGGTACAGTAAGACAATTTCTTTTTTGTTGTCAATAAATTCTTCATGCTTTATCTGCTATGTTCAGTGATTTCTTGACCTCTAAGCAGGAAAGGAGGAGTGCTTTTTTATCTTCTTTTTTCCCCCATGTAGCTCATGAGTTAAATCAGTTTAACGTCATTCTCTGGGAGTTAGTAATGGCAGAAGGCCACTTGTGATTCTGTGTGCGAAAGAAAGACTTTTATCTCAGGGGCTGTGCAGTTGATTTTCCTCGATCAAAATCGGGACATTGTTTTCTTGTATGGTTCAGATTGACAAATAATAAGCAGTTTGACTGCCAAAAGTGTTCAGATATACATAACTTACTTTGCCATTTTTCACCAAACTTTTAAGTAGAACAGCATTTTTGGCCATTCCTAAATGCAGTCAGTCAGTGGAGGATAAGGGTAGGTAACTGGAATAAACAAGCTCCATCTTCAGCGTCATAAGCAAATTTATGATGCTGTCTTTTGAGGCTGGAAACTTTATTCATACAAGGGATGAGGAATTTTCTCATATTTTACACGTTATTTTTCACACCTTCAATTTTAGTCTGGGCAGAGTTGATTCAGAGTCTCTCTTCTTTTAAATGAGATGGGACATCTGGTTGGTGTCTATTTTCCAGAACATCTCTTTTAACTAAGTGGGCTGTACAGACCTCAAAGAGAAGAGCCTGAATTTGATTCTGTGTGGAACAAAAGTGCCTTACAGCTATTGACAGAATGAAAACATCCTTGCAAGCCTTCCTAGCTGCTAATAGGGAGGTTCTCCTCTTTCCTCAGGTTCTGTCAGATCTGCTGACACCTTTTTTTATGGTTTCTGTAGCACCTTTAAAGGTATTTGAAGGAAGTGTTACTGTCGTCCTGCCATTTTTTTACTAGAACTTAGTGTAGAAGAGTGATTAGAATGTAAACTTCTGCATCATTCCCTTGGTGGCAAGGGCCTGTAGCTTTGTCCTGTTAACTGGACTCTTGGAAATCTCTTCCTTTAGTTAACATCTAAAAAAAGATTGTATGAACCCAAAGGTAAAATGTAAGTGCGTAATGGGGTGTTCTAATGAAACTTGGAGGGCACTGTTATACTCTGAAGAAGGATGAGGCATCTCCAGTTAACTGATTCAGGCTGGCTTTTGGTAAGCTCATTAATTTTACAGTTGAAATATATTTATTCATAAAAACTGCTTGTTTCAGAAATTGAGTGGTCAGGCTTCAAATCTTCTTAAGATTCTCTAGCCATAGACCCCTTATTGTGTTAAACAGTAGACAGTAAATGAACTTTTTGCTTTTCAGAGCTCTTTAAAGAGGGTATTGATTTATAAAAGTACCCAGGGAAAAATCTTTCAGAAACCATTATCTGTCTTCCTGCTTGAGATATTGCAGGCCTATGGAGGGGAACTAAGTAAACCAGAGGATGAAAATAGAGCTTTAAAACAAAACATTTCTGTGTTGAGCTTGGTTTCCATGAGATTTTGTGGTGCATGTTTGACTATGTTTTCCCCAAATAGTTGAGCTGAATTGAAAAGGGGGATAAGAGACTCAAAGATGATTCAGGCTCCTTCAAATTCAATGAGATTAACAGCTGGATAGAGGGGGAATATCACCACTAGTATCCGGTGGAGAAAAACTGAGACTTGGACCTCTGTTGCCAAATTTGCCAAACAGTACTACCAGCCTGGTCCTGAAAGACAGGTACCCGAAATGTGGGCAGAGTTAGTTGTGCAGAGTATGCTGGGCATGTCCACGACAACCTGGATTCATTAGTTCTTCTGCCTACAGAACGGCTTTGTTCTTTGCCTCAATGAAAAGAGGCCAGATTGCTGCTGTGCAAAACTGTTCGTAGTTAAGAGGCATGGGAAAACCTGTGAAGTAGGTGAGTCAGACCATGAGCTTTTGCTAGATTTAACTGTTGGTAGTGCAACTTTTTATGTATCCAGTGAGGACTAAGCAGAAAACTGAAATAGAGAAGGAAAAATATGAGACTATAGAAACAAAATCTGTAAAAATGAGAAGGACAGATCAAAATACTTGTCAGTATAACTGAGGCAATACGAAAAACTTTGAACTATTTAGAAATAATGACCATGTGCATCTGCTCATTCCCCAATTAGGGAAGGTATCCTGCTGGATCTGTTTTTTGAGAACAGAGAAGGACTTGTGGGTGATGTGACAGTTGGAGGCTGTTTTGGGTGTAGTGACCACAAAATAGTAAGAGTTTTCTATTCTTGGAGAAATAAGGTCAGCAGAACTGCTACTTGGACTTCCGGAGGGTAGACTTTGGCCTGTTTAGGAGCCTGGTTAACAGAGTCCCTTGGTAGGCAGTCGTGAAGGGCAAAGGAGTCCAGGAAGGTTGTGCATTCAGAAGCAGGCTGTCCCCGTGTGTCAAAAGATGAACCAATGGGGAAGAAGACTGGCCTGGCTGAACAGAGAGCTTTGGATGGAACTTGAAGGTGAGGTGGGGGGGTGGAAGAAGGGGCAGGCCACTTGGGTGGACTACAAGGATGTTCTGAGTTTATGCAGGGAGAAAATTAGACGAGCCAAAGCCCAGCTAGATCTTAATCTGCTTGCTGCTGTAAAAGACAATAAAAAATGTTTTTATAAATACATTAGCAACAAAAGGAGGGCTAAGGAAAATTTCCATCCTTTATTGGATGTGGTGGGAAACATAGTGACAAAGGGTGAAGAAAAGGTTGAGGTACTTAATGCCTTCTTTGCCTCAGTCTTTAATAGTAAGACTGGTTGTTCTCCAGGTGCCCAGTCCCCTGAGCTGGAAGACAGGGACGGGGAGCAGAATGAAGCCTCCATAATCCAAGTGGAAATGGTTAGTGGCTTGCTGTAGCACTTAGACACACACAAGTCTACGGGACTGGATGGGATCCATCCAAGGGTACTGAGGAAGCTGGCGAAAGTACTCACAAGCCAGGTTCCATCATGTATCAGCAATCCTCGCTAACTGGGGAGGTCCCAGTTGACTGGAGGTTAGCAAATGTGATGCCCATCTATAAGGAGGACTGGAAGGATGATCTGGGGAACTACGAGCCTGTCAGTCTGACCTTGGTGCCAGGGAAGTTATGGAGCAGATTATCTTGGTACTATCACATGGCACGTACAGGACAACCAGGTGATCAGGTCCAGTCGGCATGGGTTCATGAAAGGTAAGTCCTGCCTCTTTGCCTCAGTCTTTAATAGTAAGACTGGTTGTTCTCCAGGTGCCCAGTCCCCTGAGCTGGAAGACAGGGACGGGGAGCAGAATGAAGCCTCCATAATCCAAGTGGAAATGGTTAGTGGCTTGCTGTAGCACTTAGACACACACAAGTCTACGGGACTGGATGGGATCCATCCAAGGGTACTGAGGAAGCTGGCGAAAGTACTCACAAGCCAGGTTCCATCATGTATCAGCAATCCTCGCTAACTGGGGAGGTCCCAGTTGACTGGAGGTTAGCAAATGTGATGCCCATCTATAAGGAGGACTGGAAGGATGATCTGGGGAACTACGAGCCTGTCAGTCTGACCTTGGTGCCAGGGAAGTTATGGAGCAGATTATCTTGGTACTATCACATGGCACGTACAGGACAACCAGGTGATCAGGTCCAGTCGGCATGGGTTCATGAAAGGTAAGTCCTGCCTGACTAACCTAATCTCCTTCTATGACAAGATGACTCCTTAGTGGATGAGGAAAAGTCTGTGAATGTTGTCTACCTAGACTTTAGTAAAGCCTTTGACACCATTTCCCACAGCATTCTCCTGGAGAAACTCATGGCGTGGATGAGTGTGCTCATTGCTGGGTAAAAAGCTGGCTGGATGGCTGGCCCTAAAGAGTTGTGGTGAATGGAATTAAATCCAGTGGGTGGCTGTTCACAAGTGGTGTTCCCCAGGGCACAGTATTGGGGCCAGTTCTGTTTACTATCTCTATCAACTATCTGGACAAGGGCATTGAGTGTACCCTCAGTAAGTTTGCAGGTGACACCAAGTTGGGTGGGAGTGTTGATCTGCTTGAAAGTAGGAAGGCTCTACAGAGGGATCTGGACAGGCTGGATCTATGGGCCGAGGCCAGTGGTATGAGGTTCAGCAAGGCCAGGTGCTGGGTCCTGCGCTTGGGTCACAACAAGCCTGTACAGAGGGATCTGGACAGGCTGGATCTATGGGCCGAGGCCAGTGGTATGAGGTTCAGCAAGGCCAGGTGCTGGGTCCTGCGCTTGGGTCACAACAAGCCTGTGCAGCACTGCAGGCTTGAGGAAGAGTGGCTGGAGAGCTGCCTGGCTAAAAAAGACCTGGTGGTATTGGTTGGCAGCTGGCTGAATATGAGCCAGCAGTGTGCCCAGGTAGCCAAGAAGGCCAACAGCATTCTGGCTTGTATTAGAAACAGTGTGGCCAGCAGGACTAGGGAAATGATGGTAAGATGATAAGATTCAAAGAATTTTCTTCTGTATGAGAGAGATACTGTAGCCTCTTGAAAGTGAGCACCTTAAATTCTCATTCTTTCCTGCTCATATATGGGAATTCCCATAAAATGACACCTATTTAGCCAAAATAATATAGCAAAACCGAAAAGGCCTATTTAGAATCTATCAGTAAATTACAATCCTTAGTAGCAGCTTATTTTTCCAGTTTCAAATAATAGAAGCTGTAAAAATAAAGGACTTGAAAATCCAAAGCTAATTGCTGATATACACATGGTAATTAAGTGCATTTCTCTGATGTAACAAGACTCTCTATTCAGTTTCAGAAAACGTTAATACTCCCTGGCCATGAAGATTGGATAAGAGGCATCGAATGGGCAGTCTGTGGTCAGTATGAAAGATGAATAACGTGGAATACTGGTTTAATGACAGTACTAGTGTTTTACCCCTCCAACAGATACCTTTGATGCAGTGTGGCGCCTAAGCTCTTAGGGTTGTGATTTTTCTTTCTTTTTTTTTTTTTTCTTTTCTCTGAGATGGTGGTACAAATATTAAAATCAAGATAGAGCTTTGTATCCTGTTCAAACAGAAGAATTGTTGAATCTATACTACAGTTGTATTTTAGTTATCAAAATTAGAGCAACACTAAGATTGATAGAGAACATTCACATCCCTCATTTTGTCTTGCTTGCTTCAGGTATGTTTACCTGACTGGTACCTAAGTGCAAATAACTGTGAGTTTTAGCAACTTGTCCATTTCAATTTACAAACACCTGTATGTGTGAGGAAGAGCTGGCTGCTTTTTCAAAGGGGGGAAGGCAGGATGAAATAGGACTTTTCTTGTTCCCACACCCCCTGGTTTTTTTGGTTTTGTTTTTGTTTTTTTGGGGGGAATAGAAGGTTAAGAGGAGAACCTGTTCAGGTGTTAACTAATCAAATCGTTGTTACAATGGCAAAAATAAAATAGAAAGAATTAGAGGATGCTACAATCCTGATGAAAGAAAAGGAGGAAAGGAGTTCTTGAAGAGTATTGAGACTGTCAGAATTTCGAGACCGAAGGCCATAAGTAGTAGGGAAGTGTATGTACAGTATTTACCATGTCTTATAAGCAATGAAATGTCCATAGTTAGTGTGTTATAATCTAGTAGAGAGTTTGAAATAGGAGAGGGAGTTGATTTTGAAATAAAACAGCGGTTTACGATACTATATGCAATGGGGAAAATTAATAATATTAGTGCATATTGAAATTAATAATATTAGTGCAAGATAATGCTGTAGTGCATGTTTGGGAAAGTGGTAGGTTAGTCATGGCAGTGGATGCAATGAAAACGTAATGGAAACATGACTCTAATTATACATATTTTTTTATAAACCAAATAGGTGAAGACCTTTTCTTAGCAAGCTGTGCTCAGGATTGTTTGATAAGAATTTGGAAAGTGTGTACAAAATCAAAACACCTTCCAGAAACTGAAGACGATTGCATAAGACTGAAAGAGAACGTTTTTACTGTAAAGGGTAGGTAACAGCTGTAAAATTCTCTTGCACTACTTTTCACTTGTATATCTCTGTTTGTTGCTTCAGGGGAGCTAACAAGGTGGTTACCATCTAATTTGGTTTTTTTCTTGTATTAAAAGAATCTGAGAGCAGTTTGACTACCTTATTTTTATTCAGCTGTTAGAAAGACTGTAGTTAAAGCTGTGACTATGTGAAGTTAATGACGTGTTACAAAAATGGTAAAGCAGTGAAAGAGCTTAATACCAACATGCATTGTTACACCTATTCCAAATGCAGTGCATAGGAGAAATATTTGTCTGTGGGAGGTAAGCTGTGGTGCAGTTCTCCTCCAGTTTAATAGCATACCTTTAATTTTCTTTCAAATTCAGTGCATTAAAGGGTGCTACTATTACTTAAACCTTAGAATAAGTACTGGAGAGAACCGGTAAGAATGTGCAGGCTTACTTTATAGTTATTTAACATACTGTTTGAGCACTGTAACATCAGAGGCTCACAATGCTGACATTGTGGGGTAAATTATTCGTCAACTTAGGTAATATAATAAAGTTTTTATGATGTTATATGTAAAAAGTGCTCATGCTACTTGATACAAATCCTGACTCATTGCTTGGAGTATGTCAATGCTTGTTTTTACAGTCATTTGGAGATGTAAATATACGTAAGAGTGCGGGTAGAGCCAATGTCAGAGCGTTTATTTCAAAATTGCTGGAGAATTCTCCCAGAATTCTGTGATACCACTCTGAGGCAATAGGCAGACCTCTTACTGTCAATCTGGTACTCGGGGCTTGTGGTAAAGTAGGTTTTCAAGGAGCTGTTCAATGTCAATAGACTGTTGAGATATTGGTAGATGATGAAAGCTGTTGATCTCCTTCACTGAAGAGATCAGAAATGACCTGGTCTTTCTTGGCTTTTAGAAGGAAATGTCCTTTTCTCTGATTTGTGGTAGATACTGATACAACATATGCAATTACTTTGGAGTCGGTGTTGGCTGGTCATGAAAACTGGGTGTATGCAGTTCACTGGCAACCTTCATTTCCCAAAGGTAAAATAATGCCAAGCACTTAGCAGTTATGTTGTGTTGTGTACATAGAGTGCAGTCATGTATCTTTGTATTGTGTCCTGGGTGTTCACATGTCACTGTGCATTATGAAAGTGTTAAAGTTCTGCAAATAGTATTTTAGAAGTAAACGGATGTTGCCTCTTACTTACATTTTATTTCATTTCATTCATTAAAGAGCTGAGCTGTAATGGCTTTGATTTATTGTTTATGGAATACAAATTAGTTTAATTAATCAGTATGAATTAATAGCTCTAATAGTTTACCTTGACACATGTATTTGAAATGTCTGTTCTTCAAAAGGTAAGCATTAACTCAAGAGCACTCCTATCTTTTTCTTGGAGTACAAAGTTACAAATAGCAATGTTCAGAAGATTAATTTTCAGTCTTCTGTGCATTAATATAACATTCCAGGAACTCGTTAAGTATTAGTTTTCTTTAGCATGTATCTTTAAGACATTAGTACAGAATCTCATTGAAAAAAATTGTTATTCACAGTTTAATTTTGCATTTTTGCCTAGTCTTTATCTTTCTTGTTAAATCCTTAAATTCTGATAGCCTTGTTTGCAGTACTTACTTTCTGGTGTGTGTCTGTGTGGCATATGTGGGAGGGCAAATTATTGGCAAAGGTGCCTTTTTTCTGAGATGTTTCAGAGTTACTGATGGCAGGTGACTTCTCTGGTACAAAGCACAGTTTTGCCAGTGTGTATACAACACTTACACAGTAAGAGTGCAATTAAAATGTCAAAATACCTGTAGGGAAAGACACACAATTTTCTTTAGAAATATTGTCTTGGTTTAACTTTTTTTTTTGGTGGTTTTTTTTTTTTTAAGACACCAATAAAAGATTTTGCCTGTTAAAGCAAGGTTTAGGCACAATGTAAACACGTAGGCCTTGTACTGCAGTCTGAAAAACTGTCCTGTTAGGCCATGAAGTGTTCTGGAATCATGCTTCCGCCTACATGCAGCTGCTTCTGTTCTGTGCCCTGCCCAATCTTGGGTTCCCCAAAAGAGATTTTCCTCTTCACTAGAGGCAGACTGATCTGAGATATATATTCTTAATGCAGAAGGTAAGAGGTCTGATGCTGACATAAGATACCACCTCATGAGATACCCGCCAATATCTATTCTCAAGAAAGGTTCCGCAGTGGTTCTCCTATGGGTTTTGCAACTGGATGATGAACCAGTTCCCTCTTCCCCATTCTGGCTGGGTTGGAAGGTTGTCTAGAGTATTTCACTGCATTTTGGGGAGCAGTCCTTACTACTGGCCGTATTACAAGGTGCTAGAGTCTGTTGAAGTCTGTAGTGAATCTAACACTTAATTTAATAATTTAATACACACAGTGAATACTGGTGTAGAGATTATTTTGTTTTAAAGTGTAAATCTCTTGGTAGAAACTTACTTGAGGAATAGAAGTGAGAACTGCTACACAGTCTCTCTGTGAAGCTCTAGCTTTTCCTCTAAATTACATTTGTTTCAATATTGATTTGGAGTGAATAAACAGTAGGATATGGTTGTTCTCATGTACGTGTTTTACATTTCCTTTGGGAGATTATGCCTGAAAAATAGAGTGCCACCTAATGAACGCCTGTGAACAACGTAAAGCCTGTTAAGTCTGGTATTTAAGTACTGCATTGCATGTCTGATGCTGAACAATTTTCTTAACGTGTTTGGATTTCAGTATGACCAGATTCTTTCAGAAAGTATTCTCATGGGTTGCAGGGTGATCATTTTCCTTGTACTGTAGATGGCAGCATGCAGCAACCAATGAGGATATTGTCTGCGTCAATGGACAAAACTGTGATCATCTGGGAACCTGATAAGGAAACTGGAGTCTGGCTAGAACAGGCAAGTGTCAGTCTTTTTCACACTACGGACTGTATTCAGTTTGCGTTTCCAGCATCGTGTGTGTACTATAGGGAACAAAAACTCTATAAAATGTTGAGAGGAAAAAGGCAAAAGCATCTTCTTGCAAAAATACTCATTCTGATGCTATGTTGTGAGTAAAACTGTATTTTTCAAAAATGATATGATGCAATAAGATTTTAATTGCTTGTTGGCTTTCTTTTTACCATATCATTTCTGAGGGGAGATTATGTTCAACTGTCATTCATAGTATAGCAAGCCAGATGCTGCATAGTAACACACACTGTACTCCTGGTAAGAAGAGGAAGAAACCTTCCTGAATTATTTGCAGTTAATCCTTGTGGGAATGTGCTACCAGAGCAGCTGACAGGCAATTCACAAGCCTGGTTTTACTCACAGTAACTTGTTCATGGGCTGTCATTAGGTTTTTCTTTCAGTTGGCCTGGGTGCTCATGTTTCACTGTGGTATTTTGAATGCTGTTCTCATGTGGATCACCCTAAATAAACAAGTACAACCAGATTTATCTGCTGCTTTGGTAGATGTCTTTGTTTTCAGCTGACCTGCTTTTCCACGTTGAAGTAGTTCAGCTGAAATTGTTTGTATTGGGTTATGCCAATCATTCTTTACGATCTTTTCTGTCAAAAACAAAGTTCTAATGCTTTCTTGGGTGAAAAAAAAAGAATTAGAGTAGTGTATTTAATTTTTCCCCGTTCCATTGAAAAGTTCTTATGCCTTTCTACTTGAAGTAGAAAATACTTCATAATAGGGTGATCATGTAGAGATGCTCATTGTTGTCCCTTGTAACACTTAGTTGTGGCTAAATTTGCAAGCTTCTAGAAATGGGTTGTGCAGTAAAGCTTGTTGCAAGTTGTTTCTTTTTGCATTCCATTTGCATTGGTTATACCTCACATGTGCAGCTTGCAGTTTAGATCAGACATTTTAACTGCAACAATCCTTTTTTTGCATTGAGGGAGGGAAACCTGAGCTGGAAGCCTGCAGGGAGGAAGGACCCAAGGGGTACATCTCATTTTCTCTTTTTCATTTTGATATGATGAACAAGAAGTCTTCACAAAATCATTCCCCTGGTCAGAGGTGAGACTCTGCCTCTAGCATGGAGTATCAAAGTCACTTCCATATGAACAGTATTTTTTTGAATGAGTGCTAATTAAGTGGACATATTAGTGGAACTGCCATTTAGAATGAGGTATAGACTCATTCCATTGTGATCTTAAAAGCATCTGTATAATAATGGGAGAACTATTAAGAGTTCAGCTTGAAAGGAGTTGTGGTCTTATCTCTTGAATAAAACTTCAAAATGTAACTTTAATGATCTTTTAATGTTATTAAAAACTTGAAAGAGAAACAGGGAAGTGAAAATAAGGTAGCAAATCTTGGAAATTACAAGAGAAAAAAATGAAATAAGGTAGTTAGGAACCACTGTTCCTTTGGAACATTTCTCCATTTTGTGCAACACAGCACTAGCAAGGCAACAGATGACAAGAAACTGCTGCATCCAAGAGGCTGGACTGAAACATAGAAAGATCAGGTTTTTGTCTCATCTAGTGTAATGTTTTCTTTCCCCTGGGAGATTTAGCAAGGTCCTCTCCTCAGATGTTTATGAAGAAAGGTTCCTTTAAAAGTAGCATGCACTTTTAAGTCCCGTGATATTTTAGTGCTTAACTTTGCAATTAGAATATTCTTTAAATGTATTTTTGTGTGTAATGTGAACTCTTGCCTGTAGCTAAATTTTCATCTTGTGATGTTAGGGTGAGTTTATATGAACGGAAGGCCATTTTCATGGGTTATTCACTTCTGATCATTTATTCAGGTGCGAGTAGGTGAAGTAGGTGGCAATACCCTTGGATTTTTTGACTGCCAGTTTAGTCCAGATGGTTCAATGGTCGTTGCTCATGCTTTTCATGGAGCGCTACATCTTTGGAAACAGGCTACAGTTAATAAGGTATGTTGGTTTTTTATTAGTGGCAGTACTTAAAAGAATTGCACTTATATGTCACTTGAGGTAAGTTCTATTGTTAATAGAAAAGTGTAACAGTACAATTTTAAAATTAATGGTTGAAATAGTCCTTCTCTGGATGTAATGTTCTGCAGGTGTTCCGCTCCTGCACAGAAGGGAGGTTGCAATCTCCTAGGCTGTAAAACCTGTTGCTTCCCTGTGGGAACCATAAAGTCAGTGGAGTAGACTGAGCTCCTTTGTGATTGTGCGTTGGTCAGAAATGGCAGCTGAATCAAAACCACAAGTTTATATTGGAACAATAAATCAGTATTTGTGTCTCTTTAGCCATTTGGAGTTCTAATAATTGACTGTATTCAAATGTCTTTTTTCTGCTTTCTTAGTAAGGATGTTGATGCTTTTATTTTGGTTAGAATATGACAACCAGTCAATTGAAAACTCCTTGTTTCCTTGGTGACTTTTTTAATAGAAAGAATGGACTCCAGAAGTTGTGATTTCGGGACATTTTAACAGTGTAGAGGATGTAAAGTGGGATCCAGAAGGAGAGTTTATCGTCAGTGTTGGTTCTGATCAAACTACTAGACTCTTTGCTCCATGGAAAAGAAAACAAGAGACAGAGGTACGATCTTCAAAGACTTTGTGAGCTTGGTAAAGAGGGCTTGTCTGTCCTGAGCTTGAAAGAAGTCACCTGCATATAACTCAAACCTTAAATTTCCCTAAACCATGATCTGCTCCAAACTGCTTGTGTAAATGATTGGTTTGGTCATTCAGTATGTGCTGTTTTCACTTTAAAAATACTAGTGGTAGAGTTTCAGCAATCACATAGCATGACTGCTGTTTAATCCTCAGTTCACCTCCACATTACCTTCTGTTAGTGTTCTCCCAGGGTCTGAAAAAACAGCCTCTGCAGTAATTCAGAAGGAGGAATACATGGCTGATTCTAATAACCATCTATTGACCTTATTTAACCCTTGGCTAGGCACTGCTGCAGGTAATAATGAAGAAACTTAACGATGATTGCAGTTTATGCAAGCTTAATCTAAGCAAACCTCTCACTCTATTTTTTTTTTTTTACACTATTTTGTTTATGACTCCGTTTTACTGGAACGTTTATCTGAACTGCATGAGTGCAGTTGGACCCATGCAAGAAACTTTACAGGAAGAATTATTCCTGAGTAACTTTGTGTGCTCCAAAATAAGTCTAAATTTTAGTGTGGGAAACCCTGTCTAGGAACAAAAAAGTTCCTGTTTCTAGTTGCTTGTGTGTTTTCCTCATCTACAAATCCAGGTTTTCCTGGCAGAACAGTACTAATGTTCTATTCAGGAAACGCACAGACACTAGACTGAAGTTGTGTGAGGCCTTGTGCAAACTGTGCTATTAGTTAGAGGAGGCAAAGGGTGGCTGTTAAAACTGTCTCATTAAAGCTTCTATAGTATAGACCAGTACAGGATGTCTGATGTTTTTGGGAGAGTGAATTTGGCATCAATTCCTTAATGTCCTTCTTCAGACCACGCAGAAGTGGCAGCAATCCCAGCTCAAGTGCTAAGCTTTGCCTTGTGTTGTAGAAAGGGTATCTCTGGTTTCCTCTGCCTTTTCCCCTAATCTCCAATCTGGAGGGTACAACAGCTCTGGGGTTTTTATTTTGTTTTTTTTTTTTCATTCCTGTTATGTGCTGCATTCTAGCATATGCAAAGATGCACCTAGTAAAGGGTAAGAAGGGTTTATTGCACAGGTTGCTTGTTTGTCTTTTTGATTATTTTTTTTTTTTAAAGAATTAATGCTTTTTTTTTCCTCATTGGATGACAATGAAGCTCTTGTGAAAACATGGGATTTTGTAGGATCTCTTCTATTGGAAGCTTAGACATTTAAATCTCAATTGAATTTTTAGTGTGATACATGCAATTTACAGTCAACATAATACCTTTCCTTATATTTGTGTGACATCTAGTATCATGTAAATTCTGTCTTGGCTGCAATTTTCCAAGCATTTTAATACTGAAGTAGTCTAAATTAATTCTAATTCTGCTAGCACACTGTATTTTTCCAACTGAAGTATCATGTAGGAGTAGTAGCAAATGACACTTATTAAAAATCTTTTCATGAAAGTGCATTTGCTAGAAAACAAAGATTTTTGGGGGAGGTTTTTTTGAAGAAGCTAATATTCTTTGAGTGTGACTGTAAACCTAACTTGTCTATTTAATTTCTAATCAACTGTTAACTCTGGTTTTCTTGTATTAATACTCCAAGAGTGGCTATGAGTATTTCAGGAGACTAGAAAAAAGTTAATACTTAAAATGAAAACATTTCTAAAATCATCAGGATTTTTCAGATGTTTTTCCTGTAAGAAACTATTTTGATTTTGTCAGTTTTTTCCAAAGCTTCTATTAAATGGTCTCACTAAAATCAAGTATTTAAAGAAAAGAAGAAAGTAGAAACCTGTAGTCTATTGACAGCAGTGCTGCTGTGCTTTGTGAAAGGCAGATGAAGGAAGCAAGGTAATTATCACCACCTTTCTTTACGTCTTACAGAGCTATAGTTTTGAAGGCAGTAAGTAGCATAGAGTTCTCCTTTTGCTTAAGCAAATTGTGTCCTGTTCCTGACTATCTAGCGTAAAGAAGACACAGTAAGTGTTGTGTACCCTTAGTAACAAAGATAAGCAAATGCCTTAATCATATCTGTCCAAGGACACAGTTTACTAATTACAGGAATTGTTTGTTGGGTGGAAAAATAGGACTTACGTGACGTACGTGAGCATACATTAGTTTTATGAATGTCAGTAGGAGGTTGCTATTAACTGTCCTTTATGTTAATAAAGTGAGCAAGTTAAGTACTAGTAGTTGTTTGGAATTCAAAATCTAGCTGCTTCTCTGGTTAAGAATTGTGTTTTAATTGCATGTCTGTTTGTTTAGGTAACCTGGCATGAAATTGCAAGGCCTCAAGTCCATGGATATGATATGCGTTGTCTGGCAATGATCGGCCGGTTTCAGTTTGTGTCGGGAGCAGACGAAAAAGTGCTTCGAGTTTTTCGTGCTCCAAAGAACTTTATAGAAAATTTCAGTAACATTGCTGGAATTCCAATGGAGAAGCTGTGCTCCCACGTAAGTGTGCTAAACCAATGCTAAATGTAGACAGCCCTCTCTCATGTAGATAAAACGAATGCTTTAGAAAATGTCAGGTTGCACTAAACTCCATAAAAATTCTTTTAATAATTCTGAAACCTTAACCGTATTTTTCCTTTCCCTTCTATTTGCTTCCATGTGTGTTGTTTCATACCTGTTCTCATGGTGTTGTCTTGTAACACAGGTTGTATTTGAAACTAAACAAGACTCAGTGTCTGAAGATTGCAAAGAGTATGGGTAAATTTTAAATAAGTCAGACCAAGTAGATTACTGTACACACTTGGTGATTTGAAAGCAAACAATAAAGCCTGGGCATGTGCTTCTTAATTTAAGGGTGTAGTAGTCTTGTCTAGATGTAATTATTGTTGTGTAGTTATGTGTGGGTTTTTTTAATTGTATGCTTGAAAATTAAGTGCTCAGCACTGTTGTTAGTTGCTACATATAAATATTTATAAATATGTACTTGCTCATGCTTTATTTCCTCTTGGCATTGGAAATTTTCTTGAGGCCTCTACATTCCAGTTTTTAGTTGTTGATAAGTGTTCTTTCCTACGCTGTGGAAAGGTAAGACTGCAGAGTTGCCATCCTTTGTTTGCTCCCCACTTCCTTTAAGATCTAATTCTGTTTTTCTCTGCATTTTGTAGAGCAGACCTCATTCAGGATAGTGGCCTCTGTACAGTGCCCTGCATGCTCCTTGCATTTCTATCTCAAAAGCAGTGTTTTCTGCACAGCTTCTCATTTCATTTAACAATTGAAACATCCGGGAAAGAAATCTATTCATTTTTGATAGCAAGAAGTTACATAAGTAGCTGTTTAGCACTTTAATTCCGTAAGATTTTGTAAGCATTTGCGTTAATGACGTTGTACAAATAACACTGGGCTTTTATAATGCTGGCAGATGTCATTATTTTACTTTTATTGTAGGCTTTCCTTATCAGCTCCTTCCTCTGAGTGCTGTTTTTTGATTGATGATATCACAAAGTGTTTCACATGGGCTTTGTTTAAAGAGGAAGGCTTTATGAGCTGTAATGATACAGCTACTCTTAGATAGCTTTATTGAAATTGTTTCTCGTGAATGCTTTTCTCATTAAAGTGGGTAAGCTTTTTCTTAATTTAGCTCTAACGCCTTCCCAAAAGAAGTACTTAAAACCGAAAAAAGCTAGCTTTCCATTCAGTAAGAGTTGAATAGGGTTATATTCAGTTCAATTCCATGGGATTGTATTATACTTTGGGTTGTAATGAAGAACTATTTTTGGTTTAGAGGCCTTAGACTGGTGTGTGTCTCTCATACATTTTCTCATCAAAATATGAACATTTAAATAAATAACAGAGTATTTTAAGCTGTCACCTAAATTACTAATCCTATTCCGTAAAACAGTCTTTCTTTTGAACTTTGCAGACACTGTAACAAAGAGTTTTGCAGCTATTAAATCTAATCTTTTTCCATCTCTGCACAAAGGGTCCCAATTTCACTTACCCTTTCCAAATTTTGTCTCTTTGTCCCATACCTTTATGGAGATATTTTCTGTCTGATGATTTGTCTTTCTTCTGTGCTGCTCTAAACAGCCACGTACTGCAGCCTCATCTCTCCGCTATGTACTGGGTTGTGTTGGAGGCACTCACCCTCTGTCCTCTTTTACAAAGTGCTGCTTTATTATTTCACCACAGAACAGACTGTTTCCCAGTCCTATTGTGTTTAAAAACTGTAGTGCACTCAGTTGATTAATTATCATGTATATCCTTGAATAAATAAGACTGTGGAAGAAAACCTGTAATTAGGGATGAAGATACATGCTTTGCAGCAAAACCATTGAGCTGAGGCCTTAGAAAAGCTTTTATCTCTGGCAGAGTACTGGTCTTCATTTTGCCCAGGGTGTGTTCTGGATGAGTTGAGAGTTTTTCAAAGTGCCCTTCTCCACTTCTCTCTCTTTTTATCTTAGGGATTCCTTAAACTGTGGCCTTTGAAGTCTGAATCTATATGACAATCTGTGTGTAACTTTTGTCTTTTTTTTTTTTTCTAAATTCAGGAATCATCTGATCTTCCAGAAGGTGCAACTGTGCCAGCTTTGGGATTATCCAATAAAGCTGTTTTTGAAGGTATGGCTAATGAGAAATAACAGTGATGGTGTTTCATGTGGAAAATTCGTTTTTTCTTTTTTTTTTTTTGTCTTAATTGATTTAGCCCATGTCTTTTTGTTACATTGTAAGCTTGACTGCTTCTGTTGGTAAAGGCTGGTGAGACACCACATTAATTTCTTGAAGAGGTGGTGGTGGTTGCATTGTGGGTTAACAAGAAAGGAGGGACAAACATCTGTCTAGAATAATAAAAATGAGTATTGTTTTGAGATTGGGGATGGGACTAGTAATCTGATGTTTAATAAAGTGTCTGGTAAAAATGCAATTACAGTGGAATCTACAAATTAGGTCAGACCTGTTTTTTTTTCTGCTCACAGCTTTATAAGAAGGTGTGAATTAAAAAAGGAAGCATTTTAATAAGCTTTGTCTTCAGGGTCTTCAGTGGCAATACAGCTAAATCTTCCTAAATCTTCTGTGAGAGAAAAGTAGCTTTGTTGTACTTGAAGTATTGTACTTCAAGTAATTTATAAAATATATTTTGGCAAAACCTCTTTTCTCTGCTTTCTCGTGAGTCCTTCTGCTGAGAGAGGGAACAAAACTCCCTTCTCCCAGAGTATTGTCACATGCAGAATAATTAATTTCCATTGATTTTGTGTGGCACACCCAGAAAGCTGTCAGACTTTCCTACATAGTCCACCATTGCCCACTCAATGCTGTCAGTATTGATGGCTTAGGTTAAAGCCCCACAGATCTCTCTTCTGGCTTTTTCTGCAGAGGAATCTTCATGGCGAGCGATGATCAGTTAGCGGTCTCAAATTAGATAAATGTTGCTAATTTCATTTTCAAGGGGAGAAAAGACAGGATAAATGAGAAGATAGTCTTTCTATTCTGCTTTTTCTGTACCTACTTTCTTAAACTGCTGTATTTCAAATGTACATTTGGCAAAAAGTTAGATTCTGTCTGAGAGTAACTGTTCCCCAATTCTGTACCCTTTTCTTAAATAATACTTTCGAAGTGAAGGATGGAGTCTAAATTAAATTAAATTAGAATTAACTGAGTAATTTCAGTTACTTCTGGTACTTTTGCCTAAGGCCAAGGACTGAGCCCTCGGCAGTTTTGCTGAAGTTTGCAAATTGTAGATATGCTAATGCAAGTAGGATGGCTTTTCGTTTAGGGGTCTACATTAAATTTAGGAAGTCGTGACTGGTGTCAGAGATTTTTACCTTAAGCATTTTAAAATACAGAATGAAAAGTTCAACACTGGGGAGACACAAGTTCAGCTACTGGTAACTTCTTCTTTCAGATAAATCAAAGTTTCTTTAAGAATCTCTAAAAAAGACTGTGCTGTTGAAGAGAGGATAGTCCTGGAATGGAATTAGTCCAAAGATTAGGGGTTTTTTTTCTACTTTTTCTGTTCATTCCTGTGTGCAGTAGAATAACTAGATTCTAATATTCATTTTATTGTAACTCTGGTAGCAGAAAAACCTAATCTCAATTACTTATAATGTAAAAAACAATAAAAGTTTTAAACTGGTACAATAAGTGCTCATATTTTCCATCCTGCAAGTATGTTCTCTCTAGCTAATGAAGTCCTTGCTTTGAATAGGAGATATGGCTGTCCAACCAGCTGAGGAGGAAGAAACATTTAATACCATTTCGAATCAGTATCCTGAGATTTATTTTCAACCCTTGATCCTTACAGGTATGAGATTCATTTCTATTGTAGGAAATAGCCAGAGAGATCTGATAAAAACCTGAAGCATTATTTAGCTGATTTTTAGATAATTTACTACCAAATTTGAATATATTGTACAAATATCTTTTAGAACCTCCCCCCGAGGATCACTTGCTGCAGAATACCTTGTGGCCTGAAGTTCAGAAGTTGTAAGTTTTATTTTTTTTTTTTTTATTTAATTTACCAAATTTCCAGAAAGGTATTGCAACACATCAATGTAGTCTGGTCTTGTAACTCTATCTCTTTTACTACCTGATTTGACTTTTTGTGCAGTATATATACATATAATTTATTTATTTCACAAGCAATAAAAATTAGGAAAGAATGCAGAAAATGGTCACTAAGACTGATGTGTCACAAAACTTTTTTTCACGAGTTCCTTCCTTCCGTACCAGTGAAATATATATATGGCTTTTTAGCACAGAGCTATTCTTCTTTTGAATTTGTGAGGATCAGACTCATTGTCCTTCTGGATATTTGTCTTGTGAAGGTCTGTTTAGGACACCAATCCCTGGGACTTTTTCTCCCTCTTAGTTCCAAAGGGTATAGCAAGGTTTCTGGTCAGCTGTAAGGAACTCTGGCACGTTTTCATGGTCTTCTCTGTTCTGCGGGATGTGATGGGCCTCTTTCCATACTACAGACTTTATTGATGTCTGTCTGCTCAGCACATCTGCTTAAAACCTTGTCTATCCTGAAGGTCTCTGCGTAAGGAGTTTTCTGCTTCTTTCCACTTCGTGGCACAGACTTGGAGATCAAGTTTGTCTTACGGGTATGGAAGTAAAGGCTGAGGCATCAAAGATGGAACTTCCCTCTAAAGCTTTACTGAATTGAGATGCAATACTTGGAAGTAGCAACCGAAATAGGATTTCTCTAGTGGTAAAGCAAAGTGATGAATGTTGAGTAAGATGGTTACAGACCCACTTCGGGTGTTGAATGCTGACAGAGCAGGTTGTGGATTGGAAAGGTAAGTGTGATGTGGTCATGACAATAATTGTTTTGAGGTTGCAGGCTTCTAGAATTTTTTAGCTGTGTTTTGTTCCTTCTTTTCTGAGATTTGCAACAATTTGCGGGTGAAGTTTGTCACCTTATTTGTTTTCTAAGGATCCTGGTAACATTAGGCTACGCTTTCACAATCTTCAAAGTTTTAGTATCAATCTTCAAAGTGTAGCACAAAGAAATTAATTCTCTCAAGCTCTTAGGGGTTTATTTATCTGAATTCCCAGAAAGAGTGGTCTCAGGCAGGAACAAGAAGAATGTTGAGCCTTTGCTGGTGATTACAGGTGCCTTTATACATTACATTTTTCTGATTTTTAGATAGGGGAGGCAAGAAATAAAAAAATTCAGGGAAAACAGTTTTAAGGTTGCTTTGACTGAGTGGGAGATTTGGTGGGAGCTCATCTTTACTTTCAACCAGGCAGTTAATCTTCTTCGTATGCTTTTAAGCTATTTTACTGCATTTTTACTCAAAACTGCTTCTAGGAGGGATGCTGGGGGGTATTAGGCCGTATCTGCACATTTTGTAATTTCTGTTACGTCGACTGCTTCTCTTGTGCATGCTATGGCCACTAATGCACCCCTTCACATAATCAGTTCGATGAGGGATCTTGAAGTAGTGAAAAGGAGGCCAAAATTTTCCTTCATTTGCCTTTGACATTTCTAAAAGTCTAGTGAGACAGAAATCTTTCATATTCTGCTACAGGAGAACTGCCTATCCGGTTTTATATCCTGCATTCATTAAAATAACTGCATTTTATGATGGTCTTGAGGTTACTTATCTGAGCAGTTTTTCCTGATTTTAGAGATGCTGCTAATGATAGGGGTTGTTTTATTGAAGGGCAACAAGATGCAAAGCATTCATAGACTTTCAGGTTTTTTGCTTAGGATAATCTTGAAAGAAGGGACATGAAATTGCATAATGTAGATTTCAAGTTGCCATAGCAGCAGAAAAATAGTGTGAGGAACTGACTTGCTAAAAATAGCTTGTTTGTCATTGACATTTGTATATTCCCAGCTCTAGCTCAGCACCAAATTCTGAAGGATTAGTGTTTAGTTTTGAAAACCGTTTGCTTGGGTAGGTTTTAGCATGAAGAACTTGCTGAATTTTTTTACATAATATAATAACTTTAAAATAAAAATATGATAAATCCTGTGAGAGTATGCTAATCTTGGAAAATACCCATAGAGAGTTTATGTGCATCAAGCTGAGATTAAAGCCTGAGTGTATGTATGTACATTTCATGTAAGACACTTGGAAGTCTTGAGATATCCTTTCTGGCACTGGAAAATTATTGTAATCATTTCTCTGGACACTTTGAAAGTCCAGTGAGTTACCTCTGGATAAAAAAATCGCTATGAATTGCACATTACTAAGACAAAATTGCTTGTGGTTGTATGGTGGGTTGACCTTAGCTTGCCACCAGGTGCTCGCCAAAGCCTCTCTATCACTCCCCTCCTCAGCTGGACAGGGGAGAGAAAATATAACAAAAGGCTTGTGAGTCAAGATAAGGACAGGGAGATCTCTCAGTTACCATCACAAGCAAAACAGACTCAATTTGGGGAAAATTAATTTAATTTATTGTCGATCATATGAGAGTAGGATAATGAGAAATAAACCCAAATCTTAAGAACACCTTCCCTTCACCTCTCCCTTCTTCCCAGGCTTAACTTCACTCCCAATTTTCTCTACCTCCTCCCCTCCAGTGGTGCAGGGCATGGGGAATGGGGGTTGTGGTCAGTTCATCACATGTTGTCTCTGATGATCCTTCCTCCTCAGGACTCCTCACATTCTTCCCCTGCTTCAGTGTGGGGCCCCTCCCACAGGAGACAATCCTCCACAAACTTTTCCAGCATGGATCCTTTCCATGGGGTACAGTCCTTCAGGAGCAGACTGCTCCAGTGTGGGTCACCCCTAGTGTCACAAGTCAGGCCAGCAAACCTGCTCTGGCATGGGCTTTTCTCTGCATAGGTCTACATGGTCAGTTCATCACATGTTGTCTCTGATGATCCTTCCTCCTCAGGACTCCTCACATTCTTCCCCTGCTTCAGTGTGGGGCCCCTCCCACAGGAGACAATCCTCCACAAACTTTTCCAGCATGGATCCTTTCCATGGGGTACAGTCCTTCAGGAGCAGACTGCTCCAGTGTGGGTCACCCCTAGTGTCACAAGTCAGGCCAGCAAACCTGCTCTGGCATGGGCTTTTCTCTGCATAGGTCTACAAGGTCCTGCCAGGAGCCTGCTCCAGTGCAGGCATCCCACGGGGTGGGATCCACCTGCTCCACTGTTAACTTCCATAGGCTGCAGGGGGACCGCCTGCCTCACCATGGTGTTCCCCATGGGCTGCAGGGGAATCTCTGCTCCAACACCCAGAGCGCCTCCTCCCTCTAATTCTTCACTGACTTTGGTGTCTGCAGAGTTGCTGCTCTCACATGTTCTCACTCCTCTCTCTGGCTGCTGTTGCGCAGCAGCTTTTTCCCCTCCTTAACTATGTTCTTACAGGGGCACTACCACTGTTGTTGATGGGCTTGGGGTCCTGCCAGGAGCCTGCTCCAGTGCAGGCATCCCACGGGGTGGGATCCACCTGCTCCACTGTTAACTTCCATAGGCTGCAGGGGGACCGCCTGCCTCACCATGGTGTTCCCCATGGGCTGCAGGGGAATCTCTGCTCCAACACCCAGAGCGCCTCCTCCCTCTAATTCTTCACTGACTTTGGTGTCTGCAGAGTTGCTGCTCTCACATGTTCTCACTCCTCTCTCTGGCTGCTGTTGCGCAGCAGCTTTTTCCCCTCCTTAACTATGTTCTTACAGGGGCACTACCACTGTTGTTGATGGGCTTGGCTTGGCCAGTGGTGGGTCCGTCTTGGAGCCGGCTGGCATTGGCTCTATCGGACATGGGGGAAGTTTCTGGCAGCTTCTCACATAAGCGATCCCTGTAGCCCCACTGCTGCCAAAACCTTGCTGTGCAAACCCAGTACAGGTTGAAAATGTCACTTCATTATTCATTCATGCAGTCGCTTCTTTCCATTGTGAACCTTTTTTTTGGTGTTGTACTACATAATGAAGGATTGGATTGTGTGTATAGGGGCAGGGAAAGGGGTTGTACTGGAGGTTTTACTGGGGCTTCTATACGTTAAAGGCTCACGCACCCTTGTAAACAGCATCTCCTGTTACCACTAACTTAATTTTCTTTACTGCAGGCAGCACTGGGCTATGTAGGCTGTCTGACTGACCTGTGATAGTCCTGCTTTTGGGACTTTGCAAAAGATGGTATTTTAGGTTTTATTTTAAAGAGAGAGATTACATTTTAATGCTTCTGTTTAGCAAGAACGAAGTTGCGTGCAGAAACTCAAAATGTTTCTGTCAAGTGCTCTTCAATACTATGTTTAGGAGATAAAACCAAAGTAACTGAAGACTTGTTTCACTGAATTTCTGAATTTCATTCATTGAATTTCAGGAAACCTATACTTCTTATGGGATAAATACTTTTCAGTTTTAGAAACTTGACTTTCAATGGTTTTCACTGCAAAATAGTCTCCATGAATGTGCTTTAAAAGTAAGCATTATGATAAAACTCTTGCTGGTGGCAGTGTGAGGGGAAGACATAGAGTAATACCTTCATCATTATAAGATAACAGTCAAATTTGCAAATTTACATTCCAATAAAGTGCAGTCACCAGTCCCTCTCCCTGCTGAAGCCCAGGTATAGTTACTCTCTGTGAAAAGCCAGTGTGTCCCCAGTCTTCAGACGTGAGTGTGGGAGTCTGTCTGTGGGGATGCACCCAGCAGCAACTCTTCTGGACTCCATTCAACAGAGACAGACAGTAATTTGTCATTTAAACAGATGGTTGTTTTGGCTGCAAATGAAATCCCATGAACATCAATCCCATGTAAGAACTTCTTTGCAGCACTGCAGACCAAAGGAGTTTATTAAGAGAACTGCCCATCTTTTCAGGGTTAGGAATCAAAGGAACCCCCCCGCAACTAGTATTTAGCTGATATTTGTCCACTGTTTCTAGATTTCCTCTCCAATCTTACTCTGTTTCCAGTCTGGTTTGTGACTGATTTTAATTTGTTTTAGTCTGTGTGGTATTTCTCCTTACTAGTTCAAGCCCAGTCTGCGTATGTGAGCTTGAATTCCAGCAGAACTCATGCAAAATCTGATTAAAAATGTATTTCTGGAGGAGGCTAGAAGTTTGGGTGTTTTTCTTACAGTGTTTTTCTTTTCGGACGTGATTCTTGTCCTCTAGTTTAGAAATCTTCATTCAGTATTTCACAGAACAGGCATCCTGGGACTGTTTGTGGTGTATTTCTTTGGTGATCTTCAGCTATGTGGCTTCTGATTTTTATTGGTGGTGTTAAAATTGCTTTACAAGAAAAAAAGAATATAGTAAGTGCTGCTTTCCTCTGCTTTGTTAATCGTTAGTGTAACTTCTGCAGCGCTGATGCTTCCAAACTTTCAAATGGGCTGGAGAAATTGTTCTGTAGACCATTCCTAAATATTAAAGAATTTATGCAGATGATTAAATTGAATGCTGAACATTTTTAGGAATTATTTGAGGCGTAATACTGAAACAGTGGTGAGAAGTTCTTGGCAGTTGTCCTTCATTTTGGAAAAAAAGGATTTAAATTCACGTACGAACCTTGACATGTACTGAAAAAATGACTGTGATGTGTTAAATATCTTTCACATTTATTTCAGGTATGGACATGGATATGAAATTTTTTGTGTTGCTTGCAATAATTCAAACACTGTGATTGCCTCGGCATGTAAGGTAAGAAAAGATTCTAGCACCATCTAGTGAAAAGTGCCACCAGATTTCTAGGCCTGGCAGAGCAGGAATCAGAATTCAGTTTAGGCTGAGTTCTGTTCTTTCTCTTAAATGTGAAAGATTTTTTTATAGATGACAGTTGCCTTGTAAAGGTGAGAATGAATGCTGGTAAGTTATTATTCCTAAATTATGTATGATTGGTTTGAAGATAATAGTAAGATAAATTCTAACAAATACAGGTATAAAATAGTTTCTTACTAATACATTGTCAAGTAGTGAAACAATCTGTAAACTTCCCAGAGGAAAGCTGATTTTCATTTGATTGCAAGTCTTAAAACAAGCCCCATAACATCTTAGTATTTTGAGACTTATGACTTCTATATTTGCTTTCATTATTTCTCACCAACGTTTTTCCATCAATACAGGCTTCCAAAAAGGAACATGCAGCAATTATTTTGTGGAGCACTAGTTCTTGGAAGAAACTGCAGAGTTTGTCATTTCACAATCTGACTGTTACTCAACTGGCATTTTCTCCTAACGACCAATTTTTATTAGCGGTTTCTAGAGACAGGAATTGGTCACTGTGGAGGAAACAAGACTCATCGGAGTCAGGTAAGATATGTAAAGTGGATATACACATTTGAAGACTTTGTGGTTTGAAAGAGAATTGTTAAAATCTTTTAATGGCCATTTTCTTTACAACTTAAAAAAATGAATAGTGTTGTAGGCTTCTTTGGCTTTAAGAAGTGCAATTAATGGTGTATAGGAAAGCTAGAAAGGGAATTAAAATGTGGAGAAGAGTATAATCAGGCCTTAAATGCTATTTGTTTGATGGACGTAATGAAGTCAGCTGTTTGTCCTCCTGCCTTCTGCTTGTGATTGTATGTTTCAGACTTAGTGAAATCAAGTATACATGCTGGAGCGTAATGGCCCGGACTTCAATCTGGTGTTCTATCAAGGAAAACCTTCATCTCAGTCATCTGTGCAGGCTGGGCTGGAAGGTTCATTGCTACACCCATGTCCTGCATACAGCTGCCTTGTTTGCAGGGCATGACACTTTGAGACTCTTGATAGGATTAATCTCTGTCTTTGGTGTGGCTTTCTGATAATCCTGCACAATTGATTAATTTGACTCGGACTGGCTCTGTCTGGAAAAAGAACTGATAGCGAAGATTCAGTTTACTTTCTCATTGCGACTTTGAGCTTTGCAAAATCAGGAGGAGATTGCTATTGAACACTTTAATGGGTTCCCAGAACAGATGCTTGTGCTGAAAATGATTATCATTGCACTGTTGGCTTCGTAGCACATAAACACTACTGGGCTCTGTAGAGTTTTCCTAGAGACTTGGCAGTGAGTTTTGGCCCATTCAAACAGTGTCCACTTGTATACTGGCTTCAGATTTCTGTTCTATTCAGACTTCTATTCTAAAGACTGGCATATTGTCCACAGTAGTTACATAATATTTCAGGATAAGGAGTATGAATTCTCATCGGAAGTAGAGGAAATCCTCTTTTCATCTGTTCATCAATAACTTTTCTGTCTACAAAGAACATCATTATCAGTGTAAAACAAAACTACTGGTATCGGCATCCCAAGAAGTGGTTATTCAAACTCTACACTCAAAAATTGCAGCCTTTTCTCCTTAAGAAAAGCATTCCCATTTACTCATCTGCTGATCAGATTTATTGCCTGATTGTATCCATATTGAAATGGCAGCCTCTCTGGGAATAGATGAATCTTTACAATTAGATCATTATGATTTGAGTTCTTGGGGCTTTGTTGGTAAACAGGAACTGTAGTGAAATGACTGGGGATAAGTGTACACATGGTAAAAATTGCACTATGCTGTATCTTTTGAAATCACTGTTCTTATTAAAAACTTGTATAGGAAGAACTTGAAGGTCTTATATGTAGACTTAAATTCTTCAGAAACAGGTATGTGTGTAAAAGAGTAAGAACAATTTGATGTTTTAGTGCTAGAAGGGCTGACTGATGTGGTCTTGAACAGGTACTAATTATCATCATGGTAAGTGTTTGGAAAAAAATATTTTGTGGTAGTAAGTATTCCCAATTGCTTTAAAGATGAGCAGAATAATGTGCAAGTTTATTATTGTAGTTTTACATAAAGTTGAGTAACAATTACTTCTTATATGTAAAGTAGTTGAAACATGGGTTTTCCTTGTTATGTTTTATTCCAGGACCAGCCTTCAGCTGCTGCGCGTACACAGACAAAAATACAGCTGTTCACAGTCGAATCATTTGGTCTTGTGATTGGACACCAGATAGCAAGTATTTTATTACTGGCAGTCGGGACAAAAAGGTAATTATATAAAAGGAATTTTAAAACCCCAGAATTATTTAAAATGCATTTTAGATTAGCAAATGCTGTGTTCTAACGAGCCCATATTCTATAAATACACAAAAAGCTTATTGTATGTATTACCACAGAAAACAGTGAGACTTTCATATGCTAAACATAGTGCTTCAATATGTATGTACAAGACTGTGGTCTGCCAGTTGGTCTTTCTCTCTTTTCATACTGTAAGACAAGCCTATGTGATATAACTCTTATGGGTCGCTAAGTTTTTCTTTAACTTTCATAACATAATCTGGTCTTATTGTTAGTATTTTTAATGAAATCAGACAGACTGTCTGAAAGGTTGAATCTTTGTAGATAGACATTTTTTACTACTTTGGGGGTCATTCACGTACTGTGCCCTGGAAATAGTTTAACTTAGTTATTCCTTATGTTTTTGTTAAGTATATTTACAAAAAGATTAAAGTGAAAATTCCTAGATGATTCTCTTTCTTATAGGTTGTTATCTGGGGCCAGTGTGATTTGTCTGTGACTACTGAAGGGAATATGTTGGGTTTAATCAAACCCTGTTCAACAGTACTGGATGCTGGGGATTCTGTCACTGCTGTCAGTATCAGCCGTGTGCTTACTCCTGATGGAAGGTATTGCTGTTTTTCTGTATTGCCATTTTGTGTTTATTTTAAATTAGTATTTTCCCCTTTAGCTAAACAGCTCCTAAAATCTACCTGTCAAATATTTTGACCATTCTTTGACTGAATGAACTATTTGTTTTCTAGTCTTATTTTTAGGTGTATGGTGACTTATCCAGAGTAACAAGAAAAAAACAACAGGGGGAGGGGGGTATGAACACACCTGAAACACATTAGTTCTTCCAAAAGTATTGACTGATCTGATGTTGTAATAACCTCCTTATTTTTTTCCTAAACAAATATATTCTGCAGGTTTCTGCTTTTCTCATTTTTTATGAGGAAGCTTTGATTTAAATTGTGCTTTTTTTAAAATGGAAAAGTAAATATTGATTTCAAGGGCAAGGTGCAACACATTTGAGTGCTAGTTTTTTCTAGCTTGCATTAGAGCCAACTTCACTACCTCTGCCTTCAGAACTATCTATCTATCATTCTCTTGATAGATATATTGTTGCAGTAGGCTTAGAGAATGGGAAGATTATTTTGTACACATGGAAGCAGAGTGGACAAGAACCAGCTCCAGCTGATTGGACCACGTGTGTGGAGATAGATAACAGGTATGTCTTTGAAGTAAGTTAGAAGCAAGGAAGTGTTGTTCTTGAGACTAATAGTGCTGAGGTTCTGTTCTTGTAGTTTAAAATTATTTGAAACTGGTTTATTTATATATAAAAAATTGTTACCTTTTAGGAAAAGGTTGTTCCCTGAAAGTCTAAAGATGTCTTTAAGCAAAACCTGTTGGTTTTCTAGATTTATAAAAAAACCCACAACAATAAACCCTAATAAAAACCAAAGGGGATGCTAAACCTTAAAATACTGTGGAAAACCCCCAAACTTTATGACCTTTAGCTATAAAATAAGATAGGAAACACTGAAGCGGGGAGGGGGGAAGAATCACTGTCTATATACATCAGCAAAACATTTTTGAGTGAATGACAGCAAGTTTTCAAGAGCAGCTTCTAGCAGAAACCAGAGGAATGACAATCTATATGTGGTGCTGCTGCGCTGACAGCTACAGAAACTCTGTAGAGACACTTTGAATATTTCACTTGGAGCACTCTCCTAGATTCTTCCTTCAGGTACTGGTATTGGTAGTACCAGAAATGAAAGCTTGATTGTGACTTTGGCCTGTGTCTGCTTGAAGTGAATTAGAAAGAGACACCAGATAGCAGGAAATGGCAGGCTAAATGCCAGAAATCTGTCATATTTCAGTAATTGAGATGCTGGACCTGCAGCTTAATGTGGTAAAACTTGAAATCAATAGCTGTTTAAATTATTGATGAGCAAGAGGATAAAATGTCATTAGTGTTAATGGCTGTACTTATTTTAAGAACGTAATACCTGCTGGTTGTCACACGTCAGTTTTTTTCTTGGTTGGTAGTGTTAAAAGAAGAGTACTAATTACATAAATGTTGATGTTTACACTCACATGCCCAACTGTGTTTGACATTTTGCAGTTATGTATGGATTTCTTTTTGTTGCAGCCAAAGTCATGCTCTTGCTGTGAAACGTTTATGTTGGAGACATCACATGGGCAGAGCTGGACATAACGATCAGAACAGCAGCGAGTGGTTGCAGCTTGCAAGTTGTGGAGCTGATCACTGTGTTAAGATATTCAGTGTCAACAGGCTTGCTTTGTAGCAAAGGCAGCAGGCCTGTCTGGACAAAACGAATTCACATTTTATTTCAGCTTTAACCATTTTGATTGTTGAATTTTCTGTCTTCTGCTGCGGAGAGTCAAACATCTGACATATAATTTATTAAAGCAACTTTTATGGTAGTTTGAAATGTCTAATTCTGCAGTTCCAGGAATATGAAGCATTTTTTATGTTTCGGTTGGTCAATTTCCTGAAACTGACAAATGGGAGGTGGGGTAGGGCACGGGGGAATGATGAGATGACTTTGTTCACTGTTACTCCAAGTGTGGGAAGCTGCCAGTACTTGGGGGATTCCGTGCTTGGGATTGCGAGTGGGGTACTGAATTGTTTTCAACTCCTTATTCCTATTAAACTCAACTGTCAGTTGACTTGCCAACGCTGACACTGTGTGTTTAAGCGTGTGCAGTTAACCAGACATCAGAGTTAAACATACAACTTTCTCTCATTGCCTCTGAATGTATGTTACAGTCCTGATCCAAGTCTTGGACCACCTTACTTTAGAAGGAATAGTTTGTGTCTGAATGCTTGGACAGGCCCGCTTGTTTGTTTTTCCTGTCTGTATTTCTCTTTCTTCTGCTGTGCAGAGTGCTGGGCTCATGCTGGTTCTTCATGTGGACCTTAAATCCTAACTCACAGAGCACTTATATCTTCTGGTGTCTTGTCTGTCCTGTGTACCTGTGAGTATTCTCTGAGCAGTGTCATAGAAGACCCCCCCCTTACTCTTCCTGAGGGCTGTCCTCTACAGTGTGGGCTGGAAAAGCTGACAAGTATCAGTAGGCAGGAGCTGAAAGGTGGCAACTATTTCTTATACTGCCTTTGGACTCTTCCTGACTTTTGAGTGTTCCTTATCTATTCTGGTGTGAAGTCAAACTGGTTAACTTATTTGTCTGATTGTCTTGTATTTTAAATAGAATGATCATAGACCTCAGCATGTCTGTCTCCAATTCTGGAGTCTAATTAGAAATCAGTTAAAATTTCAGAGTGAAATTATTTTTGTTCCTGAACAAATTGCTACCCAAACAGGTAGTGCAGAAATAATTGGAATTGTGCTTAACTTTTACTGTGTTACAACTTTATCTAAAGAATACATTCATTCAGAATGGGCCAAATTCTTTTCAGAATAATTATAGTTTGTTTTAAAGGTTTTTATATTTTAGCTTTTTATTTTCAATTCTATTTTTCAGCATTAAAAAAGTCTTTAAAATGTATTAAGGGAATAAACATTCAACTTCTTAATAAAGATGCTTTGCTACATTTTATTTGTGCTTTCCTCATGTGTGCTTTAAGCATTGGAATAGTGTATTTTACTTGTCCAGGAATTTTTAAACAACCATATCCTGGTTGTATCCTGGCAAAAGCAAGACGGAACTTATCATTCATAAGCTATCAAAAAGTTGCTGAAAGTAAACTTTATTCTGTGTCACAATTGTCGTTTGGTATCTTACATACAACGTGATGATAATATTGGATAATGCTTTCCAATAGTTACACGTTTTGCCATGCAGCCAGTCTTGCCTGTAGGCTAACATGAAACGTCATATTGCCCCTCTCTTTGTATTTTGTGAAATATTGTCTTTAAACAAGCGTCAGCTATTACATGATTTAGTAATCCCTTCTGTTACCCCAGGGATTTTTGTGACTCAATTGCATTGGAGAATATACCTCGTTGTTCCAACTTAAAATACATCAAATTAGTCTGTTGATCTCCCAAGTCTAAATGTTTGTAATAGACACTTTATTTTCAATTAAGTTAGAGATTGTCAGGAGACACCTTGACATATGATTAATTATTTTTTTTTTATGTATGATGTTGTCTTTGTTCACATATCACTTTACTCTGCATTTAGTGGGTGTGACTTTTACATACGCCTTTATCTTCTCAGTAAATCCACTAAAGTCTTTTCAAACCAGCATGTAAATCAGCATCGGGGTAACAAGTCAGATACTGATTCCATTATCTAAACTAATACCAGAAAATTATTTGGATCAGTGTAAGTGTGATGCCAAAGAAAAAACAGTGTAACTATAGCAATCATTTTGGAGGTGGCATTGGCTGCCTAATGAAGAACAGAGTTCTTTAAACCACAAAATAGTATCCTTTAATATTATTATGATAGTCCCTAGAAAATTTGTTCTCCCTTTTGTTTGGTTTCTTTGTTCTAAAAAAATGGAGAAAAGCAAGCATTTGCCAGACATTTACTATATTCATTCTGCTTCATTCTTCTTGTTTTATTGGTTTGATAAATACTGCTGGAATCAAGTGCCTTCTTTCTTTATTTTCTGTTTTTTTCCCCCCAAAACTGTCTTAATTAGGTTTTTATTTGAAAGAATCTGCTGTTGATTTTGACCACTGAATGGCTATTGCTTTTATTTTTGTGCATTTCTTTTGTACATACTTACTCAGAGAGACTCTAAGTCATTAAAAATAGTGCATACAGTCATGTACTGTTTCATATATTAAAAAAAAATAAATTATAGCTTTATTCATATTCACCCAACTGCAGTCTCGTTTACCTACCAAGATGTCTGACTGCTATATTATGCATTTTTATTTCTATGGGCTTTTTTTATGCTTCCCTGGTGCTCTGTCCTTGCTGTTCTCTCTTGTGAAGAGAGGGAGGTGCCTCTTTCCATTCCTACCCCTTCTTTTTTTTCCCTAAAAATGTAACTATTTTTCATGGCTTCCCTTAAGTGAAAACTCTAAATGTGCTCAGGAGTATTTTGGAAGTTGGAGTTAGCTTCTATACTTTGCAAGTTTCCTGTATTGCCCTCTTTATAGCAAATAGTTCAATTTCATACAATAAAAATGAAGTTGGGGTAGGTGTAATCTTATTTGTTTCTTCCCATTCATGTTCAAGACTATCATATAATCCCTGCCAGCTCCAATCTTGGGAAGCTCTAACTTTTCACAACACAGCCTCCGATATTGCATTTGTTTTCCCTTAACAATGTGATGCAAGATCATGTCCGAGAGTCAGAGAATCATAATTGTTCCGTCTCTGCATTACCCTTTCCTGCCAGTCCTCAGCTAAGGTGGAAGGACACTATTCCAGTGATGAAAGTCCAGATGCAAATGGTACATTTCAAAATACACGTGTGTGTAGCAGCCTAATCATCTGCATGAATTTCTAACTAGTGCTATTGTGTATTCCCGAGTTTCTGTCTTTTTCTGTCATTTCTGTTACCAGGTTGGATAAGGGCAGTGTGTTTATTTTAAACCTCTGTGGTCTAGCAGGATACAAAGCTGATGCAGCATCCCCTCTAAACTGAGGCTCTCCTTAGTTCTCTTTATGCTTTAGTGTCCAGTGTTTTTAACCAACCTTTGAATCCCAAATGCCCAAAACTGGGTCTGTGCAGGTTTAGAGAGCTAAGCTGCTTAGCGCCTCTGCAGCCCTCGGGGGCTGCTTTCTCAAGTGCTGTGGGCTGATTGACGTATGTGCTCATGTACCTTACCACTAAATAATAGCATACATTTAATTAAATGTTGCCATAAGCACTGATGCAGATGAGGCCTTGTTTCCCACAGATTTGGGTGCTTTGCTGATTGTGAGTTTTCATTAGTTTTCTTGTGTTTATAGTTACTTTTTAAAGCTTGCACGTGTGGATTTTCGTCTCCAGCGTGTGTGCTCAAGGTGCAGCTTCTTGTCTAGATGCTGATGGAATTTTTTCTTCTACATCAAGCCTATAAAATCTGTGGATTTTCACCTTTGAACACTCTACCTTTGAGACAGACACAGGTGGAAATGATCCAGTTGATTAAAATAATGCATAAGGATGTGTGCCCATATATATAAACAGAGAAACAAGGTTGGTGTGCTCCTAAGAGACAAGGGTAAAAACTTAAATCCAATTTACAGATATGTAACTAAAGCGCTGACAAAATGTCAATACTCACCTCATATTTTGCCCTTATGCAATTAATGAATTATGTCTGTCTTTTGGTGTTTTGTTTTGTTTTTTTTTTTTATGGTGGTCTTTACCAGCAGATGTAAAGCTTGCATGGCACCAAGGGAAAAACAACACAGAACATCTATCTGATCTGTCTGTAAAACCAGTTTATGGTTTTGTCCATAAGGTTGCTATTGGAAAATACCACAATAGTGGTATGAGCTTTTATCCCAAAATCTCAATTCCAGGAGGCAAATTGCTTTCTACACTGCAGTTTGTGGGTAAGTTTCCAAATTTTTTTTTTTTCACCTTAAAAGGTGAGCTGTTGCATCTTTCTGCATCAACTACAGCCATAAGTATTTTTCAAAAGCCTGTAATCAACACAGTCTGAATCTCTGTGGCATCTGCTTTCCAATACTGCGCACTACAGTGTTTATTCCTACTCAGATTTTCATTGACAAGTTACATTGCTGTGTTAGCTCCCCCTGCCTGAGTCAAAGGCAGTGTAAATTACCTGGGGCCATCGACATCTCCATAGTATCCCATTAAAGACAACCTGGAAGTCGCACCATTAGAGACTGTCGTGTTCCGCAGGGCGGATTCTGGCATCTTTGTGTGGACAAAGTAGTCCTTGTATCGCAGAGAAAAGATGGTTAAAGACTTCTTTAAACTTACAAATTGAAGAGCTAATAGACAACGAAGACAAGGACAAAGCAATTTGTAGTTTCTCTGTGGCTTTTTCCTTTTTTTCAGTGAACATTTAAGAGCCTTTGTGCATCTTCTGCTACTGGAAGTGAAGCTCTAGATTTATTTATTTAAGATCAAAACTTAAAAGATTTGACAAGTTGAGTAAATAACTGATTTTTTTTTTTTTTCTGATTATAAAACATGCACTAGAAGAAAGTGTGGTAAACTATAATCCTCTGGACTGGTCTGTATCAAGAGTCGTTGACAGTGTACATGGTGAAATTCTGAAATTCCCTGCTCATTGTACAGCGCCATTGGGAATGGACTTGAAAAAAATTGGTGGGATAAACGAAGGTTTTGCAAAGAATGTTTTAATACCTTGTGATATATTTGAGGTAAAGCAATCCCATCAATATTTTGGATGCATACTAACAAAAGTATTTTACTGAATTTATGCCTTATGGCTGAGGGTATGAACAAGTTGGTTTATGTAGTCTAGTCAGACTTAAAGGAGTGGAATTGTCTTGTCCTGCAGCAGAGGCATCTTTGGAAAGGAAAGCAAGAAATGGCCTGGGTTGTCATTTTTATAATCTGAGATCTACAACCAAAGTCATGTGTTTATTGAGACTGTTCAAAGCCATCTTAAATCTGTCAGTCCAAAATGTGGGCATCCTCCAGACTATGTTGGACCAAAAAGGTGTGCTAGCACTGACCTCGGTGGTGAGGATGCTGCGGTGTCCGTGGGGACCTGGAGGACAAAGCAAGCTGCTTGTGTAAACTGGGAAGACAAGCGATGCTGACATTCAGCCCGAGGAACACCTGCCTGGGCTCCACGTGGCTCTAAACACCGCTGCCAGCGGCGAGCTATCGATTGTGCCCGTTTTTCAGTTATGAAATGGGAAAGAAGGAACAGGTTCCGTATCATGCTAAGCCTTAAAAAAAAAAACAACTATACTCTTACGCTGTCATCTGTCATGCGGACTGTGCTCCAGAAGTAACTAGAAGCTGGTAAAAATTTCAAGGAAGTCAATTATTGAGCTCTCAGCTATTGAAAACATCACTTTGGCAACTCTGAGTAATCTCTGTTTTCCCCAATATTTTAATGGGAAGAGATGAGAATGCTGCGAGGCTCGCTGCCGATTGCAGCTATTGCGGAGATGAGGGAAGAGGAGGAAACAGCTGTGTCCTCATTTAGGCTCGAATCTCACTTTAAAGAAGTGGCGGCTGTTGCAAATAAGAAAACTTTAAAATAACTGAAATGGGCAGCAAAAATATTGCTTGCTCTGTTTTAAGGAGCATCTGGAGCTGTACAAAGGATGAGACAAAATCTCTGACAGTACAAAAATCAGAATTTGCCGTTAGTGCTGTAGGAAGCTGTTGGAGGTGGGAGTTGTTGAGCACAGTTTAGCAATGCTCTACTACCAGTTCTACCAGCAGCGCCTTATCGGGATCTACAGCGGTAATTTTGAGGTGGCGGGGCAGCGTGCTTACCCCATGACTTTCCCAGCCCTTGATCCTCCAACCATTCCCGCTTTTTCCTTGTATACTGGCACATCCTTGTGCAGTTGTGGCGCCTTCTGAGACTCCTCTTCCCCAGCCAGGGGCTGCCTTCGTGCCCGTGCCAACCACCACATCCCCCTTATCTTGCTTCTGCCTTTTCTGGTGGAAGGCCCGGAGGGCTATG